TTTCGGGACAAACAATACATATGGTTCAATTTTATTTCAATAGTTTACTTGAATGTAGGGGTCTTTAGCAGTGGGAGGAAACCAGAGGACCTGGATAAAACCCACAAGGTTGGACAAGCGACCCTACTCCTTGTCACGTACAACCACAGAATCAAAACCATGCCAGTTGACTCAATGACAGACCTTATGATACAACGCGCACGGGCTAACCATTCGGCCATCCAACCCACCCGTATCTTTACAGATAAGCCCACCTGAGAATACTCAAGACTTACATTGTGCATAAAGTTACGTCCACATAAATATGATATTGTAATATAAGTATGCGGTGTATGCAATGGGGACCCTGGAAATAGCGGTAGACAATCATTGTAGTCTATTTTCAGGTTAGTCAGGTCATTTCGGGTTAGAGTTACCTACATGTACATGTAACCCTAACCCAATCGTCGTCTAGCCAAGCATGTGGGAATTTCCGACCTCCACATCCAGTCGATGAATTAACTTTCCTAAGTTGTGGGTGTTAGTTGTAAGTGTCATGAAAGCTAAATTATAATCATATAAGCAGTCGTTGTTGTTTGTATTTCAGAGGAGAGCCAAAAAAAAGCTCCCCTCAATCAACGAATTGAAAAAATCGCTTCCCCCAAAAAACTCTCCCAGTTTTGATAAGAAGAGTGATTTAGAAATTAAGGTGAGTGATCTGATATTAAGGAGAGTGATTAGTTATGTGAATGGGAAATGGTTCTAAGATCAATAAATGCATGTAATGGGGTCATTCCTGGTTTCATAAATGATAATAAACTCCCAATGACTATGTAAAGGAGAGTGATTTTCAGTTTTAAGCGGAGGGAAAAAAAACTCCCCTCGGTCGACATTCAGGTGAGCGGAAGGTGATTGAGAGCGATAGCTTGCCTTAAAAAACAATGACAGTATAAGAGAAGATTAAAATGAGAGAAAAGAATCTCTCAATTCAGGATTCTCAAGACCTCACCAATATATACTGTCACATATGGTCCACTTTACATGGTTTGTTAAATTTGAAAAAGAAATGTAAACTCCATGTGTTCAAATATCACAATAACAAATAAGACAAATGCGTCTACAAAAATATGAGCAAATATCCAGTTGATTTTATGAAATATCTATGTAAATATTGTACTAGTAAAACTACCTTATATTCGTCAATGTAATCGTTAATGTCTAGAGAGGATTGTATGAAATATCAAAGTATACCCTATGCTATATATGAATGTCGACAATTTCCATTAAATTGAGGAAGTTTATTTTATGGCCAATTTTTTCAAACTTCAAATCAGAATCATTGAAGACTGAAATTTACAGACATTACATATCAACACCCACCCAGACCTTTATTAGAACATGCTTAAAAGACACCATAAAATCTTTACTTCAAATTAATAATTATGGCTTTTTTATGGTTACTCGTCATGTAGATATAAATATTTTACGTCAACAATATGTCTGAGTAGCTTCGTCAATTATGCAGCAGAATACAAACAAAAAAATAAAATGAGTTCATCTCTTTGAAAGTACCGCTATTAAAGAATTTTCCATCAAAGGCAACTTTTTGAACAAGAACTTGATGAGTTTTCTGGTAGAGTCAATGTGTGTCTACTATTTTCTTATAGAGGAACACCACTTAAATTCATTATTGTCTCAAGATTCATAGGGTGTCATTTTAAATCCAGGAGAGAGATAGAGAGAGATTAACACATGTCTAGACATTATAACCATAGTAATTTAACAAAATATAGATTACCGTGTATATAGAGATTATATTCACAAAACTAATTTATCTAAAAATTATCAAGAGATTTATACAATAATAGAGAGGTTCAGATGCACTCCAAGATCGAGAACAAGGTGATTCCATTTTTGCATGCTATGTCATCAGTTTTCGAGGGCTTCCCCCTCGATGGCAGACGAACTCGCTTGTGAAAACGTCCTGTACCCTTTAAAGTCGTAAGTGAATTCCATGGTGGTTTAATTCTATTTTAGAAAATCTTTTCATAATTATACCGAAACACATCCCTTTCAAATATACAAGCATTTGTTAGGCACTGTTTGACTGGTTGGATAAAAGCGAAATGATAGAACGAATCGACACTTTCAAACAGTGCACCTTTTGCGCTATCCAATTTTCAGGAAATGTGGTGTACTTCAAAGCCCAGCTTAGGCATGGGCCGGGGGCCCCGCGATTCATGGCAAAATGAGAAAAAAACTATTAAATTCCAGATGAAACTTCCACTCATCGGTCTAGTGATTGGTCGAAACATGTGACGTAGGCGATCAAGATCGCTCATATGCTAATTATATGCCATTTACGACTGAATAGATTTCCTATTTGATCAGATATTATGTAATATCTTACATGCACCAATCAGTGGGCTATGAGGGAAATTTTGCCTGGACAACGAGGCTATAACCTACTCTTATTTCAAATTGCAACTGTCGGGGGTTACACAATGAAGTGTGCAATGAAGGAAATTTTGCCTAGATAGCGAGGCTATAGCCTACTCTTATTTCAAATTGCAACTGTCGAGGGTTCTATGCCAATTGCAATGGGTACATAGGACCTTGGTTATTCGTCCTATCCGAATGACTAGACACTAAGGCTGAATATCCTTGAGTAAAACATCCAATCACCACAAACTAGATCATTTCAGTACTAATTCAGTACAATTTTATTTCAATAATTTGCTTGCAAGTACAGGTTTTTAGTGGTGTGGCGAGAATGGATGACCCAGGGAAAACCCACGAGGTTGGACTGGCAACCCTACAGTACTCCTTGTCACGTACAACCAGGGAATCGAAACCACACAATGTGACTCAATGACAGACCTTATGATTTAAAGAGAGAGAGAAAAATGGTGTATACTCGACACAACCTAGGTTGTTTTGGGAAGACCCCAGATTAAACGAAGGGCTGTCATGTTGCTGTACTTGGAATAGATTTGATTGAAGGGAAGAACAGACACACTCCCTCAAAAGCTCAAGTATCAGAAACCAATCCAGCAATGGCCAGAGAGGGATTTCTCGGGCCATTGCTTAAGGAATATGAGATAGTCCAAGTGATAGACTACATGTATAATAGTCCCAGTCATGGATTATAATAAAATAGATGAGTCATACAAGTGTGGTTAGTACATATCACAGAGGTCTAAGTTCTCAATGTCTTAAAAGCGCCCGAAGAAATTAAAGATAGATTACATACGCCACATTAACTGAGTCTTTTGAGGAAATCCATAAAGGTTGTGACATTTTTATTCTTTTTCAGGTAATGGAAACGTGTACTAAAACTTGTCAAGGGCAACAACACATGAAATAATCAAAATATGATTGACTTCTAGTTCTTACTGGAGTTAACATAGAATAAAAAATATCTACCAGTAATCAGAAAATTTTAGATGTTTGGGGCATCAAATATATAACCAGGAGGCTTTTCATCTTGTGAACAGAAACATTGAGAATAACTTTCGACGTAATTGAATGAAAAATGAAAAACTTACGCTCTAGGGATTTCACAAGATGTTTCAATGCAAGTAATTATCAGAAACAGTTGAAAATAGGTTTCTTCATCCCATAAACACAAATGCTTTGTATAAATTGTTATGGTAAATGATTGATAGTTTTTGCATCTAAGCATTCAGACGATGTTCCAAAGTGATAATTCAAATAGTAATTATCAGAAATTTTTTAAGATACATAGGTTTCTTTGTCTTAAAAACATAAATATTGTGCACCTATCTAAGCATTTCACATGATGTTCTAAAGTGATAATTCATATAGTAATATCAGGAATTTTTTAAAATACATAGGTTTCTTAGTCTTAAAAATATAAATATTGTGCACCAACTTCGAAAGAAATTTTCTAAGTGATCAAGGGCCAGAACTCGAAGAGTAATTATTGGAAATTGCTGAAAATCAATAGGATTCTTCATCACAGGCACATAAGCACTGTGGATAAATTTCAATTGGTGATAACTTTATCCTCAAGAGTATCTATCTATAAGATTTTACAAAGTGATGAAGGACAATAACTTGGAAATTGTTTAAAATCAATAGTCTTATTTGGCTCATGTACAAATTGTGTATAAATTCCAAGTCAATCCGATGATAACTGTTGCTTCTAAAGCCTCCACTAGCAATTGTGGATGACGGAGAGAGAGAGAAATGGGGTTTAACGTCCACTTGACACAAACTAGGTCATTTCGGGACTAACATATGGTTTAATATTATTTCAATAATTCGCTTGCGCATAGGGTTCTTTAGCAGTGGGAGGAAACCGGAGGACCCGGAGAAAACCCACGAGGTTGGACAGGCGACCATACTCCTTTTCACTTACAACCGGGGATTCGGGATGACGGATGGACAGACAGTTTTTGTTTAGTATTTAAACATATATGTACATTAAGCAAGTTCTATTCTAGGTCTTTCTTTAGGCCAGAAATGTTATCTAAATTATTAATTAGACATTAATTAACTTATCCAGACCATAATCAACTCTCGATGTCATTGCTAGCCTGCTGCTCAACTTTCATTCATGATTTAATCATGAAATGGATAATCGAGACTATGTTTTACTTTGGTAATGATGATCGAGGCTAGGCCGAAAATTCAATCACTAAATTCTTGGTTCAGAGTGGATCAATTTGACTGAAATTTTCAGCAAATTCTCTTTACATTATCTAGTTTTTAACTATTACAGTGAGAACTACCATTTTCAGCAAATTCTCTTTACATTATCTGGTTTTTAACTATTACAGTGAGAACTACCAGCTCTTTATCTAATCTCCCATAATGTATCTTTAATAATTGCTTAACTTTTCTGTTTCCAGATCGCCAGGTAATATATATAACCAAAAGGCTATTTTCATTTCAAGTTATATTTTCTTTATGACCTACTCACTGAATAAGAAATAACAAAAAAAAGGCTGAAAAAAGATTCACTATTGAATAACAAGAGATGAAATATTACTCACCATTGCCACTTTCTATTTCTCTATCAGGAGAATCATCATTAACAATACTGTCAAGTAGTTTTTCCGTTTCTGTTTTCTCAATTATCTTTAACTCCATTTCTTTGTGTACAACTTGTAATTTGACAGTTTCATCGCTGACAGTTTGTCTTAACACATCATCTTGCACATTCTCATCAGCAGTTTTTTCCCCTGATAATTCACCAATATCACTCTCCATCTTTTCCCCGTCACGCTCAACCTTAAGATTGTTTAAACACACACCAGTTTTGATTGGCGATTTTTGCGTAAGATCTTGAGTATCAGTTACTGATAAAACCTCAGTTTTACCCTCACAGGACGAAGCATCATCTTTTTGTAAAGAATTTCTGTTGACTTCCTTGTCATTTTTTTTAATGGTGTCCAAAGTAATGTAACTTCTGCCGAGCAAGTTCCGTAAAATCAAATTGTGAAATATTGATTCCTCTTCTTTTTGTAGTAAAGTTTCAAACAATCTCATTGTTACCACACTCACCTGAAGAAAAACAACAATACAAAACAAACAAATGACTCAACAAAAACTATATAAATCTAATGATTTTTAATGAACTCTCTATCAAGGCTCCTATGAAACAATACATTTTGTTTTCAATACAGAGTAAAGGGAGAGTATATTTTTAATACCGGTACAAGCTGGACAATAGCTCTTATATATTTTGTTTCAAGAGAGAGAGAGAGAAATGGGGTTTAACGTCCACTCTACAGAAACTATTTCAATAATTTGCTTGTGTGTGGGGGTCTTTAGCAGTGGACGGAAACCGGAGGACCCGGAGAAAACCCACGAGGTTGGACAGGCGACCCTACTCCTCGTCTCGAAACCACGCCAGTTGACTCAATGACAGGCCTTATGATATTTTAGTTTTCAGTAAACCTTAAAAGGAGTTAGAAGTATAACAATCATGCAAGGAAGAACAGTATTTGATGTTTTCAATTTTACTTTCAAAAACACAGTAAAATTGCATAACCAACATGTAACAACAGTATTAGACACTTTCATTTTTCATTTGTGAAATGATGTTAAAAGCATTTAAGAAAGAACAGTATGGTATTCATCATTTTCAATTCGTTGATGAGATTGTTTGTGAAAGCTGCCTTATTTCCAATTTCAATATTCCCCTTTTCCGTTCTCCATATTATTATATTTTGTTTTATTAATCAGACAATTTATGAACAGACAAATATAAATTCTAAAACATAGTTCGTATGTTCACAGATAACAAACAACAGTGTATATTAATCCCAATAAATGGCATGGTTAAATGTCAGATTAACTTGACACAACTGTGTTATTCTAAATGATTCTTTCAAAACATTATTATAAAACAATATTCTGTTAGCGTTAAATAGGGAAACAAAAATCCAATATTCAGTTAGAATCAACCAGAAAAAAAAATCCCCATTACGTATTTAAACCATCCTTGTTTTTTCAAGAATATTACACCCAGGATTTTCTTTTTTCCCAAATTTTTCTTTATCTACTATCTTTAAAGTAGCTAAGTCTCTAACTCAATATCATCCAAATTCTTCGACATTGAAAACACGAATTATTTGTCAATTTAAATCAACATTGATGTTGTGATCTTACTGGAAAAAAGTGGGCTTCTCATATCCAATATTTAAGACAAAATAAACATTTTACCATTGGTACATGAATCATGTACCATAATGCGTTTCAGCGTCATTTGTAACAAGGGGCTCGAAGAACGAGGCTAGACATATTCCATAAGTCATGTCAAACGGTGACGCTATATTCTTATCTGGAGAGCATGCGCAATAAATAATTTCGGTGTAGACTGGTATAACCAGACTCTGGAAATATCCAGTAGATTGAGATTTGTGGTGTATTTCGTTGAACTTAACGGATTAGAAATTACAGTAAAAACAGAAATGATTGAATGTAAATCAGTTTATATACATTCATATTACATTATTATATGCGTTGTGACGCATTTGTGTCAATTTCTAGGTCCCAAATATTAGCGACTTAGTTCCTTTAAGCTTTCTGCAAGCTATGAAATAATAAATTGACAATTTTTTATTGAGGTTTTGGCTACTTACTTCATCTGATAAATGATCACATCTCTCTAATAATCTCTTTCTAATGGTAGGCTGTTCATCATTCAACATTTCAACCTCTTTATCCGTTCCAAGTAGAAAATGGGAAAACTCTAATATAAAAAGAAGGTAAAAAAAACATATGGTCGGGTAAAAAAAATATGACACTTTAATGGTGTCTGCATGACATTCATGAGGTATTATAGCTAACCTTAACCCTTTGGCACCATTACCCAATATTTCAAATTTTGATGTATCTAGAACCTAAACTGACAACCACTCATTGTCTCACATTCAGATAGCTTACTTAAAGTAGCAATGTGCCAAAAGACTAACAAAAAATATTGTATGCCACTCAAAGAACAAAAATAAGGATGGAAACAAAATAGCAATGAGCCAAAAGACTTACAAAACATTTGGTATTTAACGATTAAAAGAAAGGAAACATAATGTTGTGTAACGTCCTACTTGGACTTAGACATGAAATGAAATGTAATGTGTTTAAGTTTAACGTCCTACTAAGACTGAAATACGAAAAAAAATGTAATGGGGTGTAATGTCCTACTTGGACTGAGACATAAAATGAAATGTAATAATGTGTTTAAGTCCTACTCGGACTGAAACACAAAATGAAATGCAATGGGGTGTAACATCCAACTAGGAGTAGGACTGAAACATTAAGTGAAATGTAAACATCCTACAGTAGGACTGAAGCACGAAATTTAATGTAATATGGTGTAACGTCCTAATGATGCCTACATCTTGGCCTTTGATGGTCATGGATAGAGATGAGGTATCCTTCAGTCATCAACTGGCCAGTATAGGAATTAACATAAAAAAATGTGAATTTTTCATGGTTTTAAATCAAATTGTAATAGACTTTGGTGTTTGGAACAATACGATTTTAGCTAGAATATGTTTTATTGTATATGGTCGGAAAGTCTTTATTTGTCTTTTAGTCTTGATTACATTTCAATGCCAGAATATTCTATATTGATGAAATTCTAATCTGAGAATATCGTCTTGAAATATCTTATTTTTAAGAAATCGTCCTGATTTTACACAAAAGTATTTAAGATTGGAACAGATATATGCTTTAAGTAATAAATGTTTACATAAAATATATCTAAATTTCCTCATATACAGACAGTTTAAGATTTAAATTTCTCTGCCAATGAACTGATAAATGGACTAAAATATGTATATATTTCTCAGCCAATGAAATGACAGCAAAAAATGTCTAAAATAAAAATCTATGGTTTTATCAGTGCCAATATGATGGCATTTAAATTTAAAATCTACCCATAAATCAAATCTTAAAATGGTGGAGATGCTGTTTCTTTCCACAAAGTCAAAAGGGTTAAAATTACTTTGGCACTGGACAATGTTATATGTGATAATGGCATACATTTCAATTTAACAACTGCCCTTAAAAAGTATCATCTAAAAGACACTTCTTGTATCAAAATGCTCTGATTTGAAGTGAATTATCTGCCAGTTATAGGTCTTCATGAAAACTGATTGATGTCATTTTTATCTTCAAATTGGTTTTGAAATAGTCAAAGCAGGAACTGAATTTTACAATATATAATTACGAATCACTGAAACTGCGATATGAATTCTCTACCAACTGTCATAATTCAATTATATATTCATACTGATGTAAATATTTATTATATATTATTCTAATAGTATTATCAAAATGGAAAACTAATGTCGCCTGTCTTTTTATAAATATTAGAGAAGACCAAAATTTGACAGGTGTCCTGAGAATGTAATAACTATATTAAATGAAATATAAAGTGAATAACAATGTGTGTGAATCTATTATAGAATTATAATAAGCTTAACACTTTCTTTATTCCTTTATTCAATGTAGCACATTGGTCCTTAAGACAATATTGGTTCTTTGAAAAATTGTTGCTTCACTCTGTCTATAAAGTCAAATCACACATACTTAATGAACGTGAATATATATTTATACATAAAAACAGTGGTATTTTGTTAAAATCATAACCATTGTCAAAATATCCATCATATTCTATCTGAGAAATAAAGAGAGAGAGAGAGAGAAATGGGGTTTAACGTCCACTCGACACAACTAGGTCATTTCGGGACTAACATATGGTTTAATTTTATTTCAATAATTCGCTTGCGCATAGGGGTCTTTAGCAGTGGGAGGAAACCGGAGGACCCGGAGAAAACCCATGAGGTTGGACTTGAGAAATAAAGAGGTTTATTCCATATTTGGGATTGAAATTAACGTCAAGGCTAATCTAAGACGTGCAGAAATTAGGGGTTATAAAAGAGGGTGTTGAGCGAGACTGGTCAGAGGTCACCCAGGTATTTCAAACAGCTGTTATTATTGTGAACAAGGAACCTTCGGAGTCATTACAGCTTAACAATAAAGTTGTAGCAACCATTTAACCTGTAGTGTTATAAATTACGATCACAAACACAACAAGGAAAGAAGTCTGATAGTACTACATCAATTCTAAAAAGTAAGTGCAGGATAACCGCACTACATGCAAAGCAAAGTACACAGACATTACACAAGGAATAAACAAGAAATGAAATGAAATGGGGTTTAACGTCCTACTGTTTTGCTCCTACTGGGCTAATGAAGACCGGCATACACCATCCAGTGTGCTATGAGGGAAATTTTGCCCGGAGAGTGGCACTAAGGTCTACTCTTATATCGAATTCCAACTGCCAAGGGATCTTTTACGTGCACGTCAATATGTACAAGGGACCTCGGTTTTCCATTCCATCTGAATGTCTAGACAGCTGTCCTTGTCAAGCACTCCGTCCTGCATCACAGAGAGAAACCACGTCTGAATATCCCAATGAACGCTCTTGGCCAACACCAGGTGTGAACCTGCTACCTCCAGGCTAGCGAGCCAGCATCTTACCTACTTAGCCACTGTGGCTCCGAAGAATAAACAACAAATATTCAATCAAGTGAAGAAATCTGGAACCCAGCCATACGTTTCCACTGCTCTGTACAGTCCCGAACATGTAGTAAATAACAGTTTTAAATTCTAAAGTTTCTACTAAATCAATAATGTAAATACTGTACCTATTAATAATGGTGGAGAATAAACAATTCTTAGACATTTGGTAAAATATGCTGTGGCCATTAAAACACCTGCTTCAGATCTGTAATAAAAAAGGAAATATTAAATTTATTTTTAACTGACAATATTATATTCAAGAACTGCACGGAACCTGTAAACATTATTTTAGAATTGCATTCAACCTATACACAATATTCTAAAACTACACCCAACCATAGCCAATATTCTAAAACTACACCCAACCTGTAGACAATATTCTAAAACTACACACCAACATGTAGCGAATATTCTAAAACTATACCCAACCTGTAGACAATATTCTAAAACTACACTCAGCCTGTAGACAATATTCTAAAATTACAGCCAACCTGTAGACAATATTCTAAAACTACACCCAGCCTGTAGACAATATTCTAATAATAATCAAATAATTGTTACGTGCAAAGTGCTTTGTAAAATCAAGTCTCTATTATCACATTCTGTGCTGTCAATACAAGGTTCATGAAGTAAGTGTAGTCTTGTATTACATGTCTTAGCCAAAATATGCTAGTTTTACAGGTGCACATTAATTGATGGGTCAAATTTTAAGGTTATGAGGCTACGGCCCTACCCGAAAATAATGTTTTTAATATTGAACTGAGAACAATACAAGTAGTTAGGAAATGTAATAAATAAGGGAAAACTAGCATTTTTTTTTGGTGCCATGGAAACAACACACATGTATTTTTTGAAAAAAGTATGAAAATCTTAGGTACATCATATGATCTCTGTAACCAATTAAGATATAGTCACCAAATTTGCAGGATTTATAAACCAACATCTACCACAGAATGGGACAGAGAGTAATGTGAATTATCATTAACATTGCAAACGTTATCAAAATATTTCTCTAAAGACAAAATATTGTGGAGCGGCACATTTTCCAAGAATTATAAAAATCAACGAGAAAAACTCTTTCTCATGACCAGCAGTCCAGCATATATTGCCAAGTTGGAACCCATGGTGTGGTTCCTGAATTTTGTTCCTTCTTTCTATGTGGGCGTATAAAAACCAAGATATTATTTTTATCAGCAATGCTGATGCTTAAATTTAAACTAAGAAGATAAATTTGTCAATAATCACACTGACCTAAAATTCAAATCAGATCAATAATATTTATGGCATATCGTCAGACCGACTGTTTGTAATATCAATTCTAAGATTGAGTTATTTTTAACATAAATATGTACTTGTCAAAATCTGTGAAGTGCAAAAATGTGAGTGTATTGTTATCCATGAGTTGGTGTAGAAGAAACATGGTAACATTAGGTTGAGGTCGCAAGGATCAATAAATCAAATCAACAGTTACTGACATGTAACAGTAAGAACCTTTTATTCTATTAACTTTAAAGAACACTGGCTATATTTACGACAGCAGATCTTTGGACCCATGCTTTTATATGGCATATTGTGTCTGTCAAAGTCACCACTTTGGCTATATTTACGACAACAGATCTTTGGACCCGTGCTTTTATATGGTATATCGTGTCTATCAATGTCGCTGATCTTCATCCTATATTTATCAGACAATATGTAATTTTTCATGACTTAATCCATGCTAAAATGTACTTTAATTGATTGTTTAACATTTTATAAAGAAAAACAATCCAATATATCGACAGTGGATAATCTCCTGGGATATATTCAATCTGATTACCCAACATTTATAGGTGGTACTGGCTTGTGTTTAGCGTCTGTGGGATGGCAAATAATTTTTTACACAATGTTCAGTTAATAGATAAATAGATAGAAATGAGGTTTTACTTACACTCGACACAAACTAGGTCATTTTGGGACTAACATATGGTACAATTTTACTGCAATAATTCGCTTGACCGCAGGGGTCTATAGCAGTGGGAGGAAACTGGAGAACAAGAGGGGAAACAGGACTAAAAGTCCACTCGACAAGACTAGGTCATTTCAAGACTAACATATGATTAATTTCAAAAATTCACTTGCGCGTAGGTAGGGGTCTTTAGCAGCGGGAGGAAACTGTAGGACCAACCTCATGGGTTTTCTCAAGGTCTTCTGGTTTCCTTCCACTGCTAAATTTGTAAGACCTCTACAAGCAAGTGAATTATTGAAATAAAATTAAACCATGTGTTAGTCCTGAAATGATCTCATTTGTGTTGAGTGTATGTTTACGCATTTTCTCCATCTCTCTCGCTCTTTAAAGGCTGAAAAGCATATACTTCAGAGTAACATATGAAAACCATATGTAATTCCATGCTTGACATTGAAAAAACTGATTCAGTATGCCTATTGTAAAATTAAATCTAGTGAACATAAATCAATTTCTCAAGTATGTCAGTCCAGGAATGACCTAGCTATGTTGTGGGATTTCAGAATTTTTCTTTTCTGACATTTTTACTAAAAATAAAGGGGCATAACTCTTATAATTATTTAAGCACGTGGTTTCAGACCACAAATAAAAATCGTGTGTCAACAAAATATTCAAATTCGTACATAATAAAAAATAGGTGCACCTCGTTATTTGTCATTTTTAATTCCCGTACGGTATTCAAATTTATGTCAGTATTATTCCTACAAAATTACGTGTTGTCATAATACGACAGAATGAAAGCATGTCGACTACTGTCAATCTGTACTTTTTTCAAATTCACCTCCAAAATTATCGATTTTTCGGGGTATAAGACGATACTTTTTTTCAGCAGAAGTTCGGCATTCATCTTATACACCGTTTCGAATTCATTACGGATGGAGGTAAAAAACTGACATCCTGAAAATTTTTTGGCAGTAATCATCACTTCACGATAACGAGTGAGTGACATGCGCTATCATGTAAAACAATTAACTACTTACACTATTCCAATCGCAACATTTGTCGACATATCTCAGCTTGTTTATTTATCTTTTTTAAAAAAACATAAACCCTATTCAAAATATTATGATAAACCTGGGAATATGCCATCAAAATAGAATCTTTTCTCTGACATTACTCATGTGATAATTGTCACGTTAACACCTATTGTAATTTCACGCAGATAAATATATTGATTTACAAGTTAACGGATATATTAATTTGAGGTGTTATATACTCTTACAAAATGTGATATCTATGACAAGTTTAATAGCATTGATGTGAGCCGACAATATGTATATGTATATTGTCGGCTCACATCAATGCTGTTAAAATGTCTGACAATGGAGAAACCACGAAGTAAACGCATAGATTAAAATTATAACCACTCTTACTGGATTGATGAATAGTCCAACAAAGGGGAAGCAATGACTTCTGTTTAAGATTAGATTGATGAATTGTCTGACAAAGGATTAAGTCAGTCAATCAAAGCAGATTAAGTAGTTAATCAAGGTAGATATATAGACGCTATAACATGATAAATACGTTGATCAGTTAATTACCTAATCAATCCAGCCTATTATCAATGATAATCGGGTTGAGTGCTAGTTATACACTCAGTACACTACATTAATTTTGGAATTTTGAATACTATTTACCATTTCTTGATGTCGACTGGGCATGGTCCTGGTCGGACAATTTAGGACATTTGGAAAATAGTATCAGACATGTCCGGAATATACCGGAGAAATCCCATCACTGGTCAAACCCCATTTCTCTCTCTCTATAAAAGCGGATGAGCAAAAATTTCACAGTACCATATGATCAACATATTATACCACAGACTTAATACCGAAAAACTGACTGAGTAGGCTTATTGTAGAATTAAATTTAGTGAAGGTAAATCAATTCTCAAGTATAAGATCAATACTGTTAATATCAAAATTAGAAAGTCTGTTACTGTTTTCCTTGGTTAAACTGCATGTCGACATGTCGAGATCGTTAAGAAGTTTACTTTTCAAACTTACACTTGTAGGAGATCTTTCTTTATTTTATTAAGTAGAAGTTTTTCTGTTATAGTCGTGGCAAGAGCTGCAGCAACTGTGGGATGAGAAACTGCAATAAGCTGATCACAATAATCTAGCCAAGCCAAAAACGAAGTCAACTGCCATTTGCCTTTAAAAGTCTGCTGGTCTTCTTTAACTGTTACAACTGCATCGAGTCTATAATAGAAACATATTGATAAGCACAAAATCATGTAAGCCTATTATTGGCTTCACAAAATAACAGACCAGATTTATTGAAATCTTTTGTATAGAATTTGTGAATAGTGACAAAAACAGGAAATTCCAGAATCTTGAGACATTCAATAAAGTTATAGTTCTATGTTATCTTCAACTTATTTGATAAATAGTTCATGGACGAATTCAGTAGAAAACTCAAGTGCCAAAAATGTCACAGCGACTAGAAATATCTTTAATGTTGTAATAATGAAAAATATGGCAATACAAAAATTACATTCTAGTTCTCAGACAATCCTTAAACATACTGCTGGTGGGGAGACAAAAGATCGTATCTGGCATATTTTGCGAAATTTACTTTTTTGGTTCTTCAGAATGAGAATTTTCTTGGGTATCTTTTCATCTGGTTGTCGTATTTCTAAGCCAATAAAAAGATGTTGTCGTATTTCTAAGCCAATAAAAAGATAGTTTATAGATACTGTTTCAAAATGTCGAAAGAGCGAAAATTTTCTTGAAAAAAACAACTTTGCGTCTAACCAAAGCATTACAATCAAACAAAATATAGCCAGTATTGTTTTATGGTTAAATACGTATTAGTGAAATTATTGTTGTGACTCTACTGTGTGAAATTTATAAAATTGAAACAGCTAAAGGTGAATATTTTCCTACCTTTAACTAGCTTTCACTCCCTATTTTTGAAATGGATGTTGATCGAGATATGTGTGGATAGTTTTTTACATACTGTTTAAATGGCTACACATACATTTTATACATAAATATTTGAGAAAAACTTCAGAAATATGACATTTTGACGTGATGGATTTATAAGACATTTTGACTCTTAACCACTGTGCTATATTTGATTCTCCTGGACAATTTCGTAAAACCCAGATACAACCTTTTAACTCCCCACCGACGATACATTATGCAAGAGCTCAATCTGCCTATTGCAGGTCTTTCTTTAGGCCTGAAATGTTATCTAAATTATTAATTAGCCATTAATTAACTTATCCAGACCATAATCAACTCTCGATGGCATCGCTAGCCTGCGATACTGACTGGATTTGAATCGGATCTGCTGCTCAACGCTCATTGATGATTAAATCATGAAATGGATAATCAAGACTATGTATTTTAATCGTACCGACTTTAGTAAGTATGATCGCGGCTAGGCCTAAAAATCAATCGCTAAGTTATGAAGCCACCCGTTTCGGTCACATCTGTCACATATATGTATTGATATTTGAATTGAAGAGTTGCATTATGATTATGATGTTAAACAGTTAAAAGTTATCAATTTATTGAGCTCCTTCGCTCCAATGGTCATTATGTTTTGTATAATATATATTAAGAATTAACATATAATCTATTAAAGACACATTATGGGAAATTAGATAAAGAGCTGTCAGTTCTCACTATAATAGTTAAAAATTAGATAATATAAAGGGAATTTTACTGAAAATTTCAGTCAAATTGATCCACTCTGAACCAAGATTTTAGCAACTGAATTTTTGATCATCATTACTATAGTCGGGACGATAAAAAAAACATAGTCTCGATTATCCATTATCTTAATAATTTAGATAACATTTCAGGCCTAAAGAAAGACCTGCAATAGGCAGATTTAGTTCTTGCATAATGTATGTTTAATTAAGTACATGATTAAACCTCAAGAAATGAATAAAACCCGAACAGAACACAATTTTTATGGGAAACAGTAACTGGTTTTATTCTCAATGCACAATGTTTCGAAAAGTATTGATTATCGTTATCAAGTGCATATCATTGTGCTTGTTAATGATAAGCCGCTACTTGTCATATCATTGTGCTTTTAGAATAAAACAAGTTATTGTTTCCCATAAAAATTGTGTTTCATAATCACTAAAAGCCACTTAAAGATTGAACTGTTAATGATAAGACGCTACTTGTCATACCATTGTGCTTTTAGAATAAAACAAGTAATTGTTTCGAATAAAAATTGTGTTTCATAATTACTAAAAGCCACTTAAAGATTAAACTGTTAATGATAAGACGCTACTTGTCATAACATTGTGCTTTTAGAATAAAAACAGTTATTGTTTCCCATAAAAATTGTGTTTCTTAATCACTAAAAGCCACTTAAAGATTAACCTGTATAAAACCGCCACTATAACATCTGTTATAGCCCAATGTACATGTGCCTATTAGTGGTCATATGGAATGCTGAATTTATTATTTAAACATTCTAAATTTTTACTCCAATGATAATTGATTCAATGAAATAAATTTTTTGGTCATTTTTGACACATTTCCAGATTTCTACACATTGTAATACTATCAAATCAATGTATTTTCTTTTTTTTGCTTGTTTACTTTACAATATTTAGTTGATTACATTGAAATGATTTAAACTAAATAGGAGGGAAAGACCAGATCATATTCCATAAGAAATCAGCTCAAAGAGTCCTGAAAAACTATTAGAATTCAAGTATTGACAATATTTGTGTGATCACTAGTACCTATCATCAGTGGGAAATTCAACTTGACAAAAATCAGCTGATCATTAAGTATTTCACAATAAGGAATCATTTATTAGAAAATCATTACATTTCAAGAAGTATATATATATTATTAATATCTGAAGATGCCCATAGAATGCAGACAGCTAGCCTATATGATTTAATGTATGTCAGAATGAAGTAAAGTGGAGATTTTTTTACATGGACGTATTTTTTATTTATTTATACATATATATATACACAGATAAACACAAAAACACACTACGGAACACAATTAGTATTCTAATATTGTGTTCTATATTATGTTTTTATGTAAATAATGTGTGTCAATTGCGCTACATGTCACTATAAGAAAATAACTCATCATCGGCTGGGAAGTAATCTTGAGACAATATTAAGTTTTGCTTTATCCAATTATTTAAATTCTAAAATGATAAACAGTTTAACCTCTAGTGTAGGTAAACTATAACTAAACTATAAGAATTACTAAATGCCTCTAAAAGATTACTGTAGAGTAGGTGGTGTTTCGATGAATAAACAGTTTAACATTGGTAAACTATAACAGATACTAAACTATAAGAATTATTAATTGTCTCTAAAACACTATAAACCCCAGAAGGCCTCGTTCAGCATTTTTGTCAAAGAATGGCAAAAACGTGTTATAATTTTTGCAACAATTTTGCCACGTTGTAACGTGGTAAAAACAAAATGCCACATTTGTCTGGAGTTCCAAAACGTATTTTTTTTAAAAAAATGCCATGTTTTTGGAACGAGGTATTTTGTCCAGAACGAGGCTGTTCACAAGCATGAATACATGCTTTTACAAAAGGGTTGGGGCGGGGTTCAGCCAAACCAAAGTATCGTTGAGCGTATCGAGGACAGCATAATATTATTTGGTGACACTTTCAAGCGATTGTGTAGAGACAAAAACATATGGCAAAGTCGACTAGAAATGACATTCGTCACATAAAAAGAGTTTGTTACATTCTTTGTTGCAGTTTCATATGTTCACACAATATTTCCAACAAAGAGATGTGAGAAATGAAAAACAGCCAAGTTCAAAGCGGAGCTAAATCAATAATTGTATTTTAGGTCTTTGAAAATTATTAATTACAAATATGCTGTTCCTGTTTTTATATAATAAACAATATTATATTTAATATATCTCATGAAAGTTTATGTAATTGGCACTCAGTTGTATGTATAAAAAATGCGAAAGCAGTATCTAAACGGCCAATTAAATTCCATCGAAACATGAAATAGACACAATTTATGTTTATATAATGACATGTAAAGTGAACAACTTTATTAAGAATGCTAATTACATTTTCATCCTTCGGGTGACCAGCCTACGTCTGGATTCTTATTTAAAGGGTCGATCTGGACTTTATTTTGGAGAATAAAACTGCTTAATTTTGTGTTAAAAGCCCTTAAAATAAAATCTTCGACATTTGGGCCGAGCAACCAATAAAACAGGAACAGAACATTTGTAATTAATAATGTTCAAAGACCTAAAATACAATTATTGAGTTCTCTCAACTTTGAACGTGGCTGTTTTTTATTTCTCACAATGTCATTTCTAGTCAAGACTTTGCCTTGTGTTTTTTTTCTCTACATAATCGCTTGAAACTGTCACCAAATAATAGCACGATCATATGTTTCAATGTGATTGTCAAGCAACAGAGAACTTTCTAATCAAAGGGAAATAAATCTTATTTCATAAACTGTGGCTTTCATAAAAGATTTCAAGTCCATGCAACTGTAAGACTAGTCATATAACAATTGATTATAATATCTTTTTTGTTCAAACAAACTATTTGACACAACAAGGTTTGAAATATTTGCAGATTCTTAAAGTTGCATTCTGTAACGGCTGAATGTTTCTATTGCGGGTCTTGTTTCTAGCTTTAAATGTTATATAAATTTTTATTGAGACATTTATTCACATAACTTTATTGAATGGATTAGAACAGCCTCCCCCTTTAATAATGTATCGTAGCAATGGTAATTGATAATTGAGACTACATGTAGATTGTCAAAACTTCAAACACTCATAACTTTGCTGAGAATTTAGTAATTTGACTGAAATTTTCCACATATTCATTTTTCATTATCTATTTTTGAACTATTAAAGCAAGAACAGTCAGTTCTTTATCTAATTGTACATAAATCATCTTTAAACATAAGATTTGGCCCCGGTTTCACAAAGCATTCTCAGACTTAAGTTCAGAATTTACTCAACTTTCAATCACTGTTTATGAAAAATATCTTTGATCCAGAAACTCAAAACTTTGCACATAGGTCCTTATTGATGTATTTGATACATTAAAACAAGAAAAGTTTTATAAAGGGCTATATTTTAGTTGAACAAGGGGAAAACATTTTGAGTAAATTCTTAACTTAAAGGGACAATAACACTCTTGCTGGCTTGAAAGCTCCAGAAAATAAATAATATCTCTATCTAAGTACTAGATGTTTAAGTGTCCTACCTGTTGTGTAAATTATCCATTACATCCTATTTTACTTGTCCAGAGGGTTCGAAAATATTTTTAAATCGAAGTTTCATTTGAAAAGGTTTACGTTAGACGTTTCAAACCATTATGTTGAATTTTTCAAAATTTTTAAATAAGGTGTGTTAAGAAGAAATTTGTATCATCAATTAATTGAAATATTCTAAAATAGTACAATTTGTTGACCAGAATAAAGATTGGGACATAATATTCAGTTACAACAAGAGTGGTATTGAGCCTTTAAGTCTGGGAATGCTTTATGAACTCAGGGCTTGATTCTAGATCTGAACTTACCCCCATTTGGCATCAACAGATTCTATATCACTAGGACTGACAAAAGATGGTAGTTTATCGTACAAGTCACATAATCTGGTGATCAAATTATCACAGAACTTAGTATGACGAACTAAACAGTCAGCAGCAGATTGTTCGGGTAAACTGACACATAACATAATCCCTTCACATGCTTTAACACACACTCTAGCATCCTGTAAGAACATGTAGAATATATAAATACTTTCAACAAATTTGAATTAATTTCAAGCAAATTATGTAATCTGGGTTAAAATTTTAATAAACAGTGAGGCTGATGTTCCCCGCCTCGATCCCAAAATAAAAATATGACACCCACTCAAAAATTTAACTTTTTATAAAGCATCAAGCAATAAAAGCATTAAATTTATAGGGTTTAAACTTCCAAGGCATCGACAACTGAAATTGCTTATCTCCGCTAATTACTCCTAGAAGATAATGTTCATCACTGAATTCAGTCAAGACAAGAAACTATGTCTAGCTGTTTGGATGGGACAAAATACGGAGGCCCCCTTGCAGTTAGAAATGCTGCTGTTGGATCAAAATTTCCCCCATAGCACACTACATGTGTTCAATATCTCAGTTGGTGCAGAAAAGTAGAACGTTTAACCCAAATTCAATTTAATTTCCCATTTGTTTTGGGTGAATATATTAGAGATGAAATACTTACATTACTGGAAGACAGTGTCAATAAGGCATTAACAAGGCTAAAATCTTGAGATTTAGGAATACCACTTGTATTTACATGACTAGAATTTTTTACTGGTTTACCAGACTGAAATAGATATAAAAAAAACCCACATAAACCAAATATAATAGTTTGGACAACTGAACTGTACTGAACAAAATTCCCTGATTTCATAAACATATTCAATTTGATCACTCAGTCAAATAATTGCATTTGGGCTACAATACATTTAAATCATAAAGTACCCAAATTAGAGCTGCTAAAGTAACACAACACTTTGACCCCCCGAATCTCCTAATGTTTCAAATTCTCTGCCCTAGCTTCCTTATCCCAGTAAAAGTTGCCTCCCAGAGAACCAGCTACTCAAATTGTGGAGACTATTATGTCACGTCACCAACAAAATCGGACCTCCAGATCGAGTTCAAAGGGTTAAGATTTAGAGATATTACTGTTTGAATAAAATTACCAATGGCTTGCTCTTATTTCATAGTTCCATCAATAAAATTAACAAGGGTTCCAATACATGTAAGTCACAGTAACCTCAACAAAATTAATAATACACAAAAACACATACTTATGGAAAAACAGCTACTTATTTATTTGGGGCGACGTTTCGAAGAGTATTCTCTCAACGTTATCAAGCTACTCATCGAAACGTCGCCCAAATAAATAAGTAGCTGTTTTTCCATAAGTATGTGTTTTTGTGTATTGCTCTATCATGTTACTAAATGCCTCAAAAAGATTAAAATTAATAAAGGCTAAAACTTATTTCATAGTTACCTCAATAAAGAAATTAACAAGATATGGATCAGCTTTTATTTTAGAACAAACTGTACACAAGTATTCTATTTCTTCTTTCTCTGTTGGTCCTGCTCGCACTTCACCACAAATTTTCACCAATCTCTGTAAACATCCAAACAGAACACAAAAGTTGTTGGTTAACATTCTGAGTTGAAGTAGGATAGGATATGAATGGAGTTTAACATCTCGTAAACACACCTTTTATCTTCTATGATAAATGTGTGTAAGGTTTGGGTAGAGATTTTTTTCCGGACAACAGTGTTTCCGCCCACTCTTCATCAAATTCCAAGATTCAAAACAAGACACTGTAATGAAGAGACCTTTATGCTTGTCTACTGCGGCCTCTCCAGCATTTATTTGATTTGTATAAATAGAATAGAATGACAGAGAATGATGTGATGTTTATAAATAAAATAGAATGGAAAGAAGGAATGATGTGATGTTTATAAATAAAATAGAATGGAAAGAAGGAATGATGTGATGTTTATAAATAAAATAGAATGGAAAGAAGGAATGATGTGATGTTTATAAATAAAATAGAATGGAAAGAAGGTATGATGTGATGTTTATAAATAAAATAGAATGGAAAGAAAGAATGGTGCGATGTTTATAAATAAGATAGGTTGCCAGGCAACGAAACATACGCCCACAGCAGCTAAATCGTCCGGGCAGTCAACAAGTGTTGTCGCATATTTTTACTTCTTTCGGTAATGAAACATTTATAATACACTAAAATCAAATTAAGAGTAACAACTCATGAAGTAATTATCAGAAAACCATTAGAATTTGTTTGTTTTTTACAAAGTTCTGCCCCATGCTAACGTTTAGTATACAAAACTTTTAATATCATGGATTTAGCTGTTCAAGTCATAAAAATTTATTGAAAATCAATATACTTGTTCGTCTCAAGCTCTTAAACTCTGTGTATCAATCTGAAGTCAACCGAATGATAACTTTAGCCTCTAGAGCGTCACAAGATTTTTCAAAGTGATCAAGGGCCATAAGAAAGAAGGAATGATGTGATGTTTATAAATAGAATAGAATGGAAAGAAGGAATGATGTGATGTTTATAAATAAAATAGAATGGAAAGACAGAGAATGATGTGATTTTTATAAATAAAATAGAATGGAAAGAGGGAATGATGTAATGTTTATAAATAAAATAGAATGGAAAGAGGGAATGATGTGATATGAGTTAATAGAATAGAATGGAAAGAGGAAATTTTACTTGAGATGCAACTCTAACTTTAATGGATTCACTCTTATGACTAAAGTATAATTTCATCCAGAATGTCTGACAAATACCGGGTAAGTTATATTAAGGTTTACACGACAGGAGCAGTAACTGAGCAATATTTCTGAGATAGCCTTATAATTTATTTTAGATTGCCTCAAGAGAATTGCCAATAAATTGTAAAATTTAGAATAGAAGATATTTATACCTGTACAGCTCTATGAACGTTTATATGTGGTAATAAAGGATGATCTAATCTCGATAACAACTTGGTAAAAAATATCAATATTACTTGTTTCATACCAGGTGGATGCTGTAACATAAAAATTGAGATATATTTAACATGCAGTCAATGGTGTACATGGGATCTAGGTTTGTCATCCAATCCGAATGACTAGACAAAATTCTTTGCCAGCCCCTGTATCCTCCACTACTGTCAAGGGGATCCCTGGCTGGAAAATCCTGAAGAATTTTCAAGTCCAATACTTAGATCCAAATCAGGACCTCCTGTATACTGGTCCAGCACCCTGCTCATCGAGCCACACTGCCTCGGACGAAGGTTCAGTGATCTAGCTAGTGTTCGTTATACAGTCCAAATACAATTTTTATCTATCTCTATACATATATGCCATTACAATTTTAATTGGTCTTAAAGTAACGATGCATGATTGGCATTTTTCGGAAAATATCAAATTTCTCCACACTTAATCCATGCTCCTATATACATGTACTCAGGTTGATTATTTAACATTTAATTAAGAAACCAAAATTAAAATACCAACGCCAGGTAACCTAGTGGCTAGGATTCAATCAAATTTAAAACATGCCCATCAATTTGGTTCACAGCAAATAAAGATGGCGACAGTCTTGTTACATATGGAACAGCGTATATCAATGGATTTTCATTTTGTTATATCGGTGTAAATACTGAACAGAATTGAACCATTTTTGAACTGGTATTCCTATTAGAAATTCAAATTTTACAATATTGTAGGTTGCAAGGGATTACATCGTCCTAAAATCCTGCATAGAGTCTTTAAAGCGATAATTTCATATTTTTAAGTTATATTTTTAAAATGTATTAAAATAAAGCCTTAAAATAGATGGTATCTATAAACAGTCCTACCTTGTTAAAAAATAATCCTATTAATCCTATAATTCACTATTGCCAGTTGAGAAACTGGCAAAAATATCATTTTCAACTTCAAATTCAAACATCGAAGATAGCTATTCCATGGGGGGGGAGATAGAAAAACAAGGGAGGTAATTGTGATATTATTTCCGGGGTGAATGGTTTTTAAGTGTGAGAATGATACCTATGATCGTATAATAGTGTGTTGACAACCTATTGAGCAAAAGACATAGGAATAATTATGTTTTGAATATCTTAGAAAATATGAAATACTCGCTTTAATAGCACAATAGTGATTATTATTATAACAATATCTTACATCTGTTCTGCCGAGCGTATAAAGAGTTTCTAGTAATCTATGTTGCAGTAGATATTCTAAACATGGCCCTGTAGTGCCAACTTCTAATTGTTCTCTTTCTTCTTGTACTAATATTAATACCATTTGTTCTATGTGTCCTGGTATAGTAGTTTCCTCAATACGTCTTCTCTCCTCTGTAAAAATATATTGATATAATGGTTTATTAAAGAAGCTTCAAGCGGTAAGCAAGAGCTAAATCTATCACTCATAACTTCGCTCAGAACAAATGAATTAATGAAAAAAATGGGGTTTAACTTCCTACTTCTCTACATCGATTGGGCTTTAAATGAGATAGCTCTGGAGACAACTGGGGTTTAACGTCCACCTGTCACAAACTAGGTCCTTTTGGGACTAACATATGGTTCAATTTTATTTCAATAATTCACTTGTGCATAGGGGTCTTTAGCAGTGGGAGGAAACCGAAGTACCCGGAGAAACCCACGAGGTTGAACAGGCGACCCTACTCCTTGTCACGTACAACTGGGTAATCGAAACCATGCCAGTTGACTCAATGACAAACCTTATGATGCAAATTGGGCTAATGAAGACAGTGCTCAGAACAAAAAAATTGGATTTAAATCTTTGTTTAATATTTATTTTTCATCATGCAGATTAAATTTGTGAGATTATCTCAGTTAGTCTAACATGTTCTTGAAAGGGTATTGAACAATTATACATGTATAGTTAATAGTATGTATTATGTAAGATTTAGAGACGGCCGCTCTTGTTGGCTTATTTATATCGCCTGCTGAAAGTGTCAAAATTTTCAATTAAACATTTCTTTTGGACTGATATTCCTTTAAGAAATTAACCTTTGACAATATTGCAGTCTACAAGAGTTTCATAATCTCTAAATGACAATCAACATCTTTCATTTTCTGATGAATCAAATATAGTTTAAACATAGTAGTCTAATCATACATGTACACCCTTGTTCGAAACTATACACATGCGTACTGCAGCATATTCATTAATCAACTCATTTTGTTTCAGAATAATCATACATGTATATACATTGTTGGCGACATTTAAACTAATTCCTATACCGAAAAACAATCCGATACTGGGAACAATCAGAGTAGCTGAAAATCAGTGAAAAACATGGGTGATGCAGTTAATTTGATCAAAGGTGTATACTACATCTAGTACTAACTCGAAGGATGTTAGTCTGTTTGTGGTTGATAGTTTTCAAACTCAACCTTAACACCATTTAGGCCTTTAACTTTCTATCACGATGTGTCTACTTTACACATACATATATGGGAGATTGGATAAAAGGCTGGCAGTTCTCACTATAACAGTTAAAAACTAGATAATGTAAAGGGAATTTGCTGAAAATGTCAGTCAAACTGACCACTCTGAACCGAGATTTTAATGATTGAAATTTCGGCCTAGCCTTAATCATTATTACTAAACTCGGTACGATAAAAAACATAGTCTTGATCATTCATTTCATGATTAAATCATGAATGGAAGTCAAACAGAAAATCGGAACCTAATCCAATAAACATTGCAGGCTAGCGATGACATTGAGAGTTATTATGGTCTGGATAAGATAATTAATGTCTAATTAATAATTTAGAAAACATTTCAGGCCTAAAGAAAGACCTGCAGTAGGCAGATTTAGCTCTGGCATAATGAATGTTTAAGTATTCAATCATAATACATGAAATCTACACCCAACCTTTATTATCCACAAAATAATGTGTGACAGCATTCCAATGGTGTATAAATTCCTCTTGAAGAGTCAAGTTGGGTACAAACTGCAAAAATAAAAAAAGTTCATCAAAATCGAAATTCCTGATCAATAATATAGCACTTACCATGGTCCTCCAAGATGGGCGTTCATACACTGCATTAGGTTGATTTTGATAGATTATATGAATGTAGGCTAAATAAACTGATTTACATTTCTAATTTTTAATTGTAATGTCTAAGGTCATCTTTGGTAAAACATGTGAGGAGTCCAACAATCCAATCTAATTTTGGAGTATGGTTTGACATTTCAGTACTACGCTGACTTGAGAGATAGGTTCCCCCCACCTCCCCTTCTTCAAAGCACCACATTACATGGCGCACAAGACGATAGAAAAAAACAACATCGTTCACTGATTTTAAAACATTCATTGTGTCTTAAAGGGACTATCCAGATTTGAACAGAGTCTCAAAAATAAAAGTCAGAGTACATGTATGTATGAAATTTAAGCACCCACATATAGAGAAATAGTGTATTTACCTTGTCTCAAAATTTCAGCTCAAAATATTGAGTCGTTTGGATGTGAAAGTCAAAAATGCTTATCCGGACATGTAACCCTTTTAAGACTTTGGGTCAATTTTTTCGTTGGGCAACCTGATAATCGATTTCCATTTCTTTAGAGGTCTATACAGTGAATGACCCATGTGCTGTACTTCATAACGAAGGGTAAATTTCACCTACACATTATTTTTATAAAATAAAAGTCTGGTTTTATCCAGACACCGTATATATAATACAGTTTGGACACTGGTCTCCATTTCCAGATGAAGACTGGCAGGTTTAAGATGTTTGAAAACGTTTGACAAATATTGAGTTAGTTGCTCGGCTCTTAGCTAGGTAGAGGATTTTAAGGGATTTTAACACAAAATTAAACATTTTTTTTCTCCAAAATATTATCGGGATTGGCCCTTTAAATATTAAACATTTGAGACACAAAGGCTCATACTCATAGTAAAGAGTCACTAACCAAAAGGTCTCGGGTTCAGGTTCACTCCCATGGCCACAAATGTTCCTCAGGATTTTCTGACACAGCGTTGAAAGTGATGCAAGACGGAGGGCCTGGCAAGAACAGTGTCTAATCCTTCGATTGGACAAAAAACTGAGGTCTCGTGTACACATTGGCATGCATGTTAGTAAAAGAATTTGAAACAAGAGTAGACTACAGCACTGCTGACTGATGTCCCGGGAAAATCTCCCTGACAACCTGGCTCCATGCCCAGTAAGTGCAGATGCCTGGTAGGACGTTAAACCCCAATTCATTTTGTCTTAAATATTTTCAGGGCAAAATTATGACATCAACATTCATTGAATATATATTGACTTCTTGTTTTTAATAAGAGGTTTATTATTAGCTCTTTTAAATCAGACTTAAGTGTAGGACCCAACATACGGTGCATTGACAAAAATAATTGGCGCTATTGCACTTTCACACCTCTACTAGAGCCTCTAGAGGCTCTACTCAGACTACCATTGCCTTGTACCCGGTACTACATGTATGTATTCATAGTCATACATCATACTGGCTCTACCTAGCATAGCTACAATATGTAGCTTTAAACTGCGTTGGAGTAAGGCGGAAGACATCAGTAGTGGTACCATTTCTATACCTAGCACTGCACTACACTACAGACAGTTGATTTCCCGTGGTGGTAGTATTGTTTGTTATGTTTATTGTTTCAATATTATATAATGGGTTAAACTTCTAATTTGGAAAAATGAATAATAGAATATCCAAAACAGCGTCAAAACAAATAAGAAAATAAACAAAACATCACAAAACCAATATAAATATTATAGTTATTGTTTACATTTATTTTTATGGAGCAGAGTTATCTGCGCTTTACGGGCTGTTACTCAAACTATAAAGAATAAAACTATTATTTCTAATACTTACAGAATCCACTGCATGCTGAATTAATGTAGTGAATTTATTGAACATTCTCTTTTTCATTTGTTATAAATTTCAGTTGCGTTAATATTTCCATGTAAGATTAAAATCATAAATACTGTTTTGACAGAACGAACAATAAAAAGTAAATATCCGACCGGAAACACGTTTAGACATTTCGAACATCCAGGCACTTTATTTATATTTTTCAGATTATTATTTCCAATTATGAAGTAGAGTATATTTTGTTGTCAGTCATCATATATTTCGGTTTTAGAAATAGTCTCTTTCGTCCTGTGTTTGGCCTCAGTTTATTTGGTCATTCAGTTAACTGAGTTCTTTAGGGCGTTAACCCCATTTCGTTTTAATTCTTTAAATAGTCTTTTTCAACTAGACACTTCATATAGCATGTAGTCTCGACTTTCTATGTCATCTTCAGTTTTTACCTTATTTGGAGTGATTAGAAATCAGTTAACTTTGCTACTATCCTAACATCTTGTTTCACCTGGGCACCCTTTTTTCTAAATCTCCATTTTGAATGCATCAGTTTCCCTGTCTTTGTTAAAGCACCGAGGTCACTAACGCAGATAAGGTTAATATTTGTTTACTAGTAACTTGACAAGATTAAATATGTCAATTCCATTCTAATTTAAATACTGTTTTATTCTTATATAAATTACAAATAAGATAATATAAAAAAATACATAAGTAATAAATTAAGTTATATTTTAAAATATATTTTGTCTAATTTAGTATCTGTTTTATCTTTTAGTGTTTCGCATCTTTATTCCTCTCTTCGTTTCCTATGAGCACCTTTCTCGGGGTATGTTTCTAATCTTTTTCATTATTATATGTATAGCCCACGCGTATAATAGTTAGGCCTATCAATGTTTTATTGTTTCCTGTATTAGGCAATATATATTTCTATTATGTATAATTAGTTACTAGTCATTAGAAGCTAAATGTACATCACTTAGTAACTGTGTTAACTTTGCTCCCTTTTGTATATATAAGATAATTTCATTCTTTTATTACTTTAGGTCACGTCTTCTTTCTGTATATTTGACCCTGTTTGCGTATTGTAAATAAACTGTTTTGTGGTGTTCCTGTGTGTCTAATTTTCGTTCAACCCACGACTCGGAAAGGTGGAAGTCTGCCTGTCCGTCAATCCTGCTACAAAATGGCGCCCCACGTTGGGCGCCATGTTTTAGCTGGATTGACGACTCGGAAAGGTGGAAGTCTGTCCGTTGTTTGATTTATATAAATTTCACTTTTTTAATATACATTTATAATATTTCGATGTTTCACTATGAATCTTAGTAAAATGAAACTGAAAATCAAAAAAATCATATCGATCCATAAAATAGACAAAACTATAAAGACAGCCGAGACTACGGGGTTGTACAGGGGATGCAACTGTGGAGAACGCTAGATCGGAGACGGTCCTGCACATTTTAGGACCTAGAAGAGTTGTTATATTAGCCAATGAAACGGTCTGTTACGGTGAGTTCTTGGCGTGCGATGCACGGAACTGTGAGTAAACCACTAGAAGCGTCAAAGCTCATTGATAAATCAATGTCTGACGTTATAGGGTCAAAAGCCGCTCGTACGACCCCTGACGCGACCTTCCAGTACAACCGATCAGATCTTCATGTGTAGACCATCGAAAGTATAAAAAACCGAAATGAAATATGGATCTGTATTTTAATCAGATTGTGTAAATGGGTATATAAAACTAGTAAAAAGTACCATTTTGCCCGAATCAGTTAATGCAACAATGTCTTATGTAAACAGCTGTCTAGTCATTCGGATGAGACGAAAAACCTAGGTCCCGTGTATACATAGGAATGCACGTAAAAGATCCCTTGGCAGTTGGAATTCGATATAAGAGTAGGCGATAGTGCCGCTGCCCGGGCAAAATTTCCTCAGACCACACTGTATGGCGTATGACCGTCTTCATTAGCCCAGTATAGGAGCAGAACAGTAGGACGTTAAACCCCATTTCATTTCATTCCTTATGTAAACAATGCCCGCGCCATAGAGCCAATGATCGACGCCTCGTCATGTGACGTCACCTGTTTTTATAGACGGCATACATCTGTGAAACGATTGAAATTGGGTGTCCCCGTCTAATATGGAAATTTCATACCGTGCACTTTGATGTGAGTCATACGCCGATACACGTCTGTATCATTAAACCCGAACTCTAATTAATGTTTTTTTTTTTGTTTGTTTTTGTGTGTGTGTGGGGGGTGGGGGGGGGATAACAAATAACACACCAGTATATCAAAAGATATAAACTGAATCGTTTGAAATACATCCACCAACCCACAAAACTTTATATTGTTTGCGTCATTACATGTACAAGGACTTAATCTGCACATTGTATTATGAACGCCCTAATTATTATCATTATCTGGTTTATCAACAGTAAATAAATAGATAAATCACTGCCTATAGTCTATAGCTGGAGATAACAATACACGTACATAGTCCAGTAGCAAAGATACCATATACATCTACAATATATGCATGATAATAAACAAACGAGCGTTTCATGCTTGCTTTTTATAATACTACCGAGCGAGAACTTGTTTCAGAAAATGATTTTCAGTCAGTATTCGTTTAATTTACAATTTATATGAATCATTTGTGCATAACATTTGTTGAAACGCCGTGCTACAGGCGTATACGTTATAAACCAGAAGTTGTTTTCCATTAATTATGTTGTGCTTTGCATTGTGCTCAATCGCTAAATACCATTCATGGATATATTAAATGAATCAGTTATTTACGTTTGCAAAGATAAATACCTATACTTTTTGGATATATTTTGAGTTTCTAAAAATGCATATTTCAGAGATACCCGATGTAACATTTGCTGTTTTTTGTTATCTAGTTTTATCCAGCGCAGGTATGTCATTTTCTTGCTATAATGTTTCATAAAGTAATTATTATTCAATATGATATTTGATTATATAAAAATATTTTAATTCCTATACTTATTCTTTCCAAACTGTTTTTGCTTTGCTCCCCTGAAACCTAGTGTACCGTATTCAGATTGTAATGTAAGTTTATAAATTGTATAAGTATACCATAATTCTGTAGATAATGAATATGTTCTCAACCGAGAATCACATTTACCTTCGACATTAAACCCCTCTCACTGTTAGATATAGATATATTTGTATACACGTATTTACATTTTATAAGTGATTAAATATGCATTATATAAGATTTAGATAAAGAACTGGCCGTTCTTGCTATAATAGTTCAAAAATAGATAGTGCAAAATGAATATTATTGAAAATTCCATTCAAATTACTTTTTTCTAAGCGAAGTCATCAATGTTTGTAGTTTTGACGAGATGTGTAAATTGATTGTTTATTATTGTAATCACGGTGCTGGTTATTCGAGTTTTAGCCTCGCTCCTTCATTTTTAAATTAAATCATTAAATTGCCGAACCGTTCTAATCAGCTTAAAATCGGAGCCATCCAATGGCACCCAGAGTTGATTATGGTCTTGACTTGTCAATAAATGTCTAATTATTAATTTATATAACATTTAAGACCCAAAGAAAGATCTGCAATAGGCATATTTAGCTCTTGTATAATTCCTCTTTAGTGATGCACACATATTTACAGCGAGTGTGTGTACCGCATTTGCCCCAATTAAGAACTGTACTGTGGTTGTTGGCCCTGGAACCTTTTGGACAGCCCGAAAAATGATCACTGTACTTTCAGTGTCGCCAATTCCCTTTAGTAGAGTAGTAGTGCTTCGAAGTGAAATGAAATAAAATGGGGTTTAACGTCCCACTCCGACTGGGCTAATGAATACGGACATACGCCATACAGTGCACTACGAGGGACATTTTGCAAGGACAGCGGCGCTACAGCCTACTCTTATATCAAATTCCACCTGCCTAGGTATCGTTTACGTGTACATGGGACCGCGATTTTCGTCCCATCCGAACGACTAGACAGCTGTCCTTGTCAGGCCCTCCTTTCTTTGCCACTGTGAAGGGGAAAGGGAAACCACGCCGGTAAGTCCCGATGAACTTTCTTGGCCAACACCGTGAGCGAACTCGCGACCTCCAGTTTAGTGAGCCAGCGTCTTACCCACTTAGCCACCGTGGCTCCCTGTGTTTCGAAGAGTAGAAAGGATATTGTTTATTGTATGATAGCTATTCATTACAATTGGTATAAAATAGTCGCGCTATCAAGTGGCCAACGAAGAGTTTGACCCGAACTTTTTAAAAATGCTCATGTCCAGATAAGCGGTTTTGACGTGAACGTCCAAACGATTCAATATTTTGAACTAAACTTTGCAGACAAGGAAAATACACCATTCCTCTATATTTTGGCGTTTAAATTTCGTACGTACACGGACTTTTATGTCTTAGTCTCTATGAAATTCGGGAATATCCCTTTAAGTAATATCCCATTTTTAACAACCACATGCTTTATTGCAGATTGTAAACACCATTGTCACCACCAGATAACAGCCCACAGTGATAAGATCATTAGTATTACCAATCAAAACTTGAACTCTGATGGCAAGGAACAGGAGTATTGTGTTTTAGAAATCAAATCCCGTCCACGTCATCTTATAAACGTTAATTTGAACTATAAACCCCGCCTTGCCACTGCTGTGGTTAACTGCTCCACAGATTATCTTCGTGTGGGCAACGATAATAACAGAATCGACCATGAATTGATGACATCTTATAAATTTTGTGAAGAGTTGACACAAGAGAATATTGTATCGCGGGATAACTATTTATGGATAGTACTGCGGACCTCAAATAAACCAGCAACTTTTAAAATAGAGGCGCGATCGCAACCAAAAGGTAAGAACTCTTGATGCGATTTTATTTATTTATACCCAATGCAATTTGAATACCTCCATAACACTCCAATATCTGCAGCTGCATTTCCACTTATTTTTTCTGGAACTCCTACTAACCAGAGAGATCAATAAGCTTAAAGCTAGATTCCCACTATCATGATTCGTGCTACGATTGAAATGGTGGTTTTATTCGCGGAGTAATCGTGGTGATCCAATCAGCTCTTAGCATATATTGAGATCAGTCGTAGCCATCGTGTTGATCATATCGAAACGTATCCGAACGTACCAGGGACAATCCTATCGTAAGACATCGCACGACAGTTGGAACCTAACATAAAGCGCAAGCCAATGGCGATTCGCGTATAGCTGTGTATATCGTGCTATTTGAACGACCATGGACCTTATAGTATTATAAGGTCCATGGAACGACCAGATAAACCTCCCTTGTCAGCCCCACAGGCCAAGCTTGTTTAAAATGATTGATAACCGTGGTCGACCAACAATAATCAATACTTACATGATGATCAATGATCAGTTCTCCCATATAATGTACCCATTCCCAATAACCCAATAGCTATATTCAACATCGAGTTTCTTTCAGATTTATTTGTCATTTTCGTATGAAACACACGTATAATGGTTTGACTCACAATGTTCAATATGGAAAACATTTTGTCCGATTGACCTAAGTTATATTATGCTAGGTCCCACTGTGTTACGATGCGTTACAATAGGATTGGCCCTACTGAGTCCACGATCTGGTACCTGCAGATACGTTCGGATACGTTTCAACACGACACGATCACTACGATTGCTACATATATAATAAGACCCGATATATAATAGCGCGAATTATGTATTATGTATTTTAAAATTATTGCTGCATTCGTAAATTAATATCGGATTCCCTCAGTTTTCGTGAAGGATATGCATCATGTTATTGTTTTATTATATTTCAATAATTCGCTGCCGCGTAAGGGGTGTGTGGGGGTGACCCGGAGAAATCTCACATAGTTGAACAATCTGGGTATCGAAACTACGTCACTTGCGGACGCATTAGACCATTGGGCCACCCTTATACAGTAGTAAGAAATTGGCCTTATGCCGACCATTATGTGAACTCTGTTTTGCCCAAATAGAGACTATCGTATGGATATTAGTCAATTGGAATTTGTAAATGTGTTATTCTATAATCCATTACCTGTACTATTTTTTTAAAAAAAAAAAAATGCAAATGATCAATTTTGTCAGTTATCTAATACAACAATGTATTTATATTTCTGGAAGTAAGATGCAAAACAGATGAATTCGAGTGTTCACCAATACAATGCGTATCAACGGATGTTTTATGTGACGGAATAGCAGACTGTCATAATAATCGAGACGAATTTTGTCAGCAGAACTTTGCAAATAATTCCTGTTTCCATTGCTTTGATGGAACTTGTATCCAGCCCGTCCTTCCCCGCTATAGTGAAGACTGGGGCAAAGAAATGTGGTATTTGTGTGATGAATTTCAACATTGCCCGGATGGAACGGATGAAAGAAAAGGTAATAATCAAAAGGGGGAGAGAGAGAAATGGGGTTTAACGTCCACTCGACACAAACTAGGTCATTTCGGGACTAACACATGGTTCACATGCGCGTACATGTAGGTGTCTTTAGCAGTGGGAGGAAACCGGAGGACCCGGAGAAAACCCCATAGGTTGGACAGGCGACCCTACTCCTTGTCACGCACAACCGAGGAATCGCAACCCCGCCAGTTGACTCAACGACATACCTTATGAAACAGCGCGCACGTGCTAACCATTCAAAAGGGTCTGCTAGCTCAATTATATTTATCGACGATGACTATTATGGCATGTAGCCATAGAATTGTGTCGTTGAATATATTAACCCCCACATTCTCGTAAACCTACAATAGAAGGATATTGTACTTATAAGAAATAAACTACATTTAATTAAATACGAAACTGGAACGAAATAAATGCTAGCTTTGTGCCCTCAAACCCATCAGAAACAGTATCAGGGCTACAGACAGACTTAGAATCATAAACATAAAAGGCAGTATTGCCGATACAAAATATCATGAAATGAGATCAAAGCAATGCTCAATCAACATATTACTTATTGCCTATGTACCATGCTGTGGATGTAAAAATAATTTATAGTTAATGGTATTCTACACCAACATTCGTGACGTTTGTGTTCATTGAAATAATAAACAAAATATTTTGAAAAGCTAAATTATTACCAGCATGCATGTAATTTAGAAAATAAAATGTACTTAATTGATTCAACAAAAGAATGGGTGGATGTATGTCTTATAGTCATGTACTTTTATGATAAAGCAACAATTTTACTTTATATAATAAACTGATAAAGTAAAATTGTTGCTTTATTATAAAAGTACAATACAACATACTTTATCAGTTTATTTGCATTGGCCGAGAAAGTTCATCTGGATTTTTCGACGTGGTTTCTCCTTGTCAGTAGTGCAGAACGGAGGGCCTGACAAGGACAGCTGTCTAGTCCTTCGGATAAGACAAAAACCGAGGTCCCGTGTTTTTATTGGAATGCACCTGGAATTCGATATAAGAGTAGGCGATAGTGCCGCTGCCCGGGCAAGATTTCCCTCATAGCACACTGTATGGCGTATGCCCGTCTTCATTAGCCCAGTATAGGAGCAGAACAGTAGGACGTTAAACGCCATTTCATTTCATTTATCAGTTTATTATTAGTAAAATACAAATATATCCGAAGGAATTATTTATTGGTTTTGTATTGCTAAATGACTGACTGACTGACTGAATGAATGAATGAATGAATGAATAAATGAATGAATGGATGGACGAACGAATGCATGACTAAATGAATGAAAGTATAAGTAAGACATATATCTGTATTTATATACAACTCTCATTCATTTGTTTTACCACAGCAGAAAAACGCCAACAGCCTTTCTCGAAACGATCTTCTTGAGCTTTTCGTTTTGTCTGAAAAAAGAAGAAAATATACTCTTGATTCATTTACTTTGTATATTTATAAAATTTATATTACAAGAAATAAAAAAAATATTTTCGAAACGAATCCCCAGAACCAGAACAGTTTTATAATAACTGGAAAGCATGTACCATTTAGCGCCTTATATAACGAACCTTTCAACAAAATAAAAAGAAATTAGTTTGATAGAAGATATTTCGTAATGCCCATATTATGTTTAGTAAATACGAATCAAACATATTTAAAAACATTATAATCAAATAAAAATGCCGCTTTTACTTACCAGTCAAGGGTCGTTCTTGTTTGTTGGCATCAAAATTTTTCACACCATTAGCATGCTCTATATGGTTGGTTTTCAGAACAGTTTTATTATGGTTACAATAAAATAAATTATAAAATTTTATTAATGGAACTTGGCGTAAATGATAATTATAAGTTTCTGTTTGACGATTTTTAATAATAATAGGTCTATAGTCGACATCATCAGATCCACCAAATAAATTACAATAAACCCCATCAGTTTCCTTCGTCATATTTAAAGTTTCAAACACCTCCTCTGTTCTAAATTTTTCAGCATTTCGATCAAGTTCTTGTTGTCTTTCTAGTTCTTCTTCTAATTCATCGATCATTTTGGAAATCGCATCGCCGTTTTCAGTTCCTACTTCTACACGCGAACTTGTCTTTACAGAACCAGCCTTCATTTCGACCTTACAGTCCCCTTTGAAGACTTCAGGCTGAGTTAGAATGCTGTAACTTTCCATTTCATCTAATAATAGTTCTTTCCGTCTTTCTAGTGCATCTTCTAATTCATCGACCATTTTGGAAATCGCTTCACTCTTTTCTTTTTCTAGTTCTATGTCCGAACTTGTTTTTACAGATACATCCTTCATTTCAACCTTACAATTGCTTTTGGAGATTTCATTCGGAGTCAGGTAACTCTCCATTTCTTCTAATAATGATTGCAGTTTATCGTTTTCATCGACTGCTTCAAAGACAACGTCAATAAGAAGCTCTGACATTTCGTATGCTGTAACAAGAAATAAATATTTGGGAGATTTATTTTAATAATTAAATAGCATGATTAGATCTATATTGAATGCATTAGATATAATTGGATTATGCATGTATATTTTTTCTTCCGTTGTTTTCAATTAATTTTGACAGAATATAAAATGCCATCAACCGTAAATTGACAATATAAAAATTTGCTACTTTATACACAAACAGTTCTAGGTAGAAATTTGTTGAGGATGTAAACGACGACCAATTTCCTATTTATCAAGAAATGAAAATGATAATTACCTTTACGCTGGTACATAACCTCTTCTCTTAAATATTTCCTCATGATTGATGTTATTGTATCTAGTATTTACTGTAAAACATACAATAAATAGTTGCAACGTGAAATATAGGCATACTTTAACATGAAGTATAGGCATACTTTGAATCGGTTTTTAATCTATTTTTATTGCAAATATTTCGCTATAATTGTAAACTATGTTGTAAATTTTATGAATAGTAATATTTTCAACTCACCTGAGAATATAATAACTGTTTTCTACGTAAAATAAGGATAAATTTGAAGTTTTTATAGTAATATTCGTAATACACAGCTTATTTCTAGAGTTTGGATATAGCTATGACGTTATGTTATTATGTCGTCACAATGGGCATTTCACGTTATCCAGTACATATTTTCATAGAACTAGAATACTAACATAGAACTAGAATACTAACGTTAGTATTCTAGTTCTATGGTTATAGCTATGACGTTATGTTATTATGTCGTCACAATGGGCATTTCACGTTATCCAGTACATATTTTTTCTTTTAATTTGGCACGTAGAAGAAGAGGTCTGGTAAATCCAACGTTAAATGACGCCAGGATGCGCAGTGGACGAAAGCCGTTTAAGGCCTCGAGTCCACAACTCAGACTTAAGTTACGAATTTACTCAAAATTTTCGCCTTATTTTAACTTAAATATATAGCCCTTTATAAAACTTTTGGCGTTTTAATGTATCAAATACATCAATGAGAAACTATGTGCAAAGTTTTGTGTATCTGGATAAGATATTTCTCATAAACCGGTATTGAATGTTGAGTAATTCTTGGGGCAAGCTTATTTTACCAAAATGTAAAGTGTTTTCTGTATTAGTCAATTATAATCGGTCGCTTTCTTGTTTGTTTTTGTTGTTTGTTTTGTTATAGATATTCAATATCGTGTTAACAGTCGTGCAGCATCCATGTTTTCTTGTGTTCCATCAAAAGCTTAAACATACATTATGCAAGAGCTATATCTGCCTATTGCAGGTGTTTCTTTAGGTCTGAAATGCTTTCTAAATTATTGATTAGACATAAATTAACTTATCCAGGCCATACTCAACTCTCGATGGCATCGGATTTCTCCGATATTAAATAGATTAGAACAGTTCAGCCATATTTTGATTTAAGCTAAAAATGGAGGAGCGAGACTTAGCTTCGAACAACCAGAACGGTGGTTGAAATTATTGCACACGTCTTGTCAAACATTCAAAGGCTAATATCTTTGCTCGCAATTGAGTAATTTGAATGGAATTTTCAAATTATTCATTTTACATTATTTATTTTCGAACTATTATAGGAAGAATGGCTAGCTCTTTATCTGAGTAAGAAACTTTAGATTATTAGAAGATGAACGCAGTCTCTGATGTGACATCAGCGTTATAATGAAATTGTATATGATGCTGTCAATTGTGTGTTGTATTAAAATGCCTTTGCTATCTATATAACTAGTTTTTACATGTTTGGATATATTTGTTCGAGTTTCGATTTCTGTAATATATCAAGTCAAATTCTGCAATGTTCAAATTAGAACTGTCAAAGGTGTGATTTTTTAAAAATAATTTTACTATCCATATGACTAGCTTTTACATGTATGTACATGTATATATGTTTTCGATTTTCGATTCCTGCACAAAGGAAATATCATTTCTGATGGTTTTATTTTCACAATTTTTTAGGGGAGTATCCGACCCACTCGTTCGTGCTAGGCTTGGCTTGCTTTACCGTCGGTTAAAAGACCCGTGCTCTAGCTACGGGCCTGCATGGCCCCCTATAGGGATTAATGGTCGCCCCATTAGGGCAAGATGGCAATCCCTGAGCATTTGCAAGGAGCAGTCAACTAGACAATTAAAAGAAATAATTTCTGTGATAATATTGTAATAATCCCACCCCATATACTAACACTGTCACCACCATCAATGATAATTACATTTTTAACAAACAAATATAAATATTTTCTAAACTTATTTTTATTCCACATTTGTTTGTTAAATAAAATACATTGCATGTAAATGAACCAGACTTTAAACATACATTATGCTAAATCTGCCAATTGCTGGTCTTTCTTTAGAACCCGGTCTGCTGCTTCTGATTAAATCAAAAAATGGATAACCGAGACGATGTTTTTTATCGTACCGACTTAAGTAATGATGATCGAGACTAGGTCCAAAATTCAATCGCCTAAATACTCGGTTCAGGGTGGATCAATTTGACTGAAATTTTCAGCAAATTCCCTTTAGAATATCTAGTTTTTAACTATGAGAATTACGAGCTCTTTATCTGATCTCCCATAATGTATCTTTAAATATATAAATACTGTATAATATCCATGAAAAAGAATATCATTAAATGAGTTCAAAGCAACGTTCAGTCAAAATAGACCCATTGCTTGTTCACTATGCTGTGGATGCAAAGAGAATTTATTTAATGGAAATTCTGAAATAGCATTCTTTAAATTAATTTTCTATTATTTTTGAACTATTATAGCAAAAACAACCAGCTCCTTATTTAAACCTTACATAATGTATTCTTAAGTATTATTTAATACAAAAATGAATGAATGAACGAACGAACGAACGAACGAACGAACGAACGAATGAATGAATGAAGACAATCAGTTGTTTTTTGTAATGTCTTAAAGAAAGACATTATAATAATATTCATCTATTCGTCTGTTTTTCCACAGCAGAAAAATGCCAGCAGTCTTTCTCGAAATTTCTCGAAACGATCTTCTTGTGCTTTTCTTTTTTGTCTGAAAAATGAAGAAAATATAATCTCGTTTAATGGAATTTGTATGTATATAGAGAATCTCCTACCAGTCTTTTTTGATATCAAAAAAGACGAGTAGGAGATTTTATTTATCACCCAATCCCTTCTTACATACACAAATAGATAAATATAATTGTTTGCTGTAGATTTCACTTTTACTGAACATTACGGCGTAGTGATACATCAATTGAATAACAATAGTTCATTTTTAATAAAAAAAAGTAGTTCCTTTTCAACTGACCAATCAAATTCATGAAATATATCACACAAGCGATATCTACTGCAGAATGTATTATTGGGTGATAATATAGAAATAATATTACAAGGGATCAAAAATATTTTTAAAAATGCTGCAAAGTCGAGACAATGATAACATATAATATCTCCATGCCATCCAAAATACCAGATATTTGATTAACAGATGACATTTTCATAAAAGCTTTGAGGTGGGTAATAGAATTTGTTATTATTTGAATTAAACTGAAGTAAGACCTGACTAGTGTATATATAGCGCAATTTACAAGATTAAAAGTCGAAACAAAAAAAAACAATTTTTGCTAGTTAATATTATCTTGATGCCCATGTTTAGCGAATAAAATAAAATATATTTAAAAACATTACAGCGGCATAAAAAAGGCGGTGTAAAATGAAAAGGAACTAAAATAAAATGGAATTGACAAAACAACACATCTGGGCCAATATGTTGTTTAAAGTAGCTAAGTCGTATCCAAAATGATGTAATCTTACTGGGAAAAGATGGGCTTCTGATATTCAATGTTTAAGATAAAATAAACAATTTACCATTGGTACACGAATCGTGTATCATAATGCGTTTCAACGCCATTTGTAATAAGTGACTCAAAATAACGAGGCTAGGTATATTCCACAAGTCGTGTCAAACGGTGACGCCATTTTCTTATCTGGGGAGCATTCGCAATAAATACTATCGGTGTAGAATGGAATAACCAGACGCTAGAGATCGTCATTCGATTGAGACTTCTGGCGTATTTCGCCGAACATAACTTTTTAGAAATTACAGTAGAAACAGAAACGATTGAATGTAAATCAGTTTATATAAATTCATATTACATTATTATATGTGTCAATTTCTAGGTCTCAAATATTAGCGATTTAGCCCCTTTAAATGATCTGTAAATTAGTTAAACAGTATGTCATGTAGAACTATAACTTAATGGCATCTTACTTGGGCGTTTTACTTACCATTTAAAGTGCTGTCTTGTTTGTCGCTAAATAAATTATTCACATCATGATCATCAATATCTGTTCGATATTCTGTACTATTTATAGATATATGGTTGATTTTCAGGACAGTTTAACTATGGTTACAATTAAATAAACTATAAAATTCTATTAATGGATCTTGGTGTAAATGGTAATTATAAGTTTCTGTTTGACGATTTTTAATAATAATAGGTCTATAGTTGACATCATCAGATCCACCAAAAAAATTACAATAAACTCCACCAGTTTCCTTCGTCATGTTTAAAGTTTCAAACACCTCCTCTTTCCTAAATTTTTCAGCATTTCGATCAAGTTCTGGGTCTTGTTGTCTTTCTTATTCTGTTTCTAGATCATCTAGCATTTTTGAAATCACCTTTCCCTTTTCTGTTTCTTGTTCTGCGCCTGTTTTTACAGATTCAGTCCTGAATTCAACCTGAGTGTTGTAACTCTCCATTTCATCCAATAAGAGTTCCTCTCGTTTTTCTAGTTCTTCTTCCAATTCATCAATCATTTTTGAAATCACTTTGCTTTTTTCTGCTTCTTCTTCTGCGTTTGACTCTGTTTTTACAGATTCAGTCCCCATTTCAAACTTACAGACGCTTTTGCACTCTACAGTCTGGGTTAGAGTGTTGTAACTATCCCTTTCGTCTAATAGCGATTGAAGTTCTTTTTCCCGTAAAGCGTCACTCACTATGTCAAGAAGAAGCTCTGACATTTCGTATGCTGTAACAATAAATAAATATTTGTGAAATTATTTTCAAGGGATAATAAAAAAACATTGCTCTATTATTGAATATGTACGATGCAATTAGAATAATTCTCCCTATAAACGGCAGGGCCACGGTGCCTAAGTTAGTAAGACGCTCGCTTGCTAGCCTGGAGGTCGACGGTTCGCTCCCGTCGTTGACCGAGAAAGTTCATCGGAGGGCCTAGCAATGACAGCTGTCTAGTCGTTCGGGTGGGACGAAAAAACGAAGTCCCGTGTATACATTGGAGTGAACGTACAAGATCGGTATAGGCAGTTGGAATTCGATATAAGAGTAGGCCGGAGCGCCTCATAGCACACTATTTAAGGCGTATGCCCGGTCTTCAATAACCCAATCGGAGCAGAACAGTAGGACCTTAAAACCTCATTTCATGTCCTATTAACCGCCAAATCGGCTGAGAATCTAAACAATTAGTACTTCCCATTTAATTTCATACTGTACGAAAGCATACGCTGAAATATTAGAATTCGATCCGTGCTTTTAAATTATTAAGAAATAAAAGAAATGATAATTACCTTTACGCTGGTACATAACTTCTTCTCTTAAAGATGTTCTCGTGATTGATTTTATAAAAAATATTCTGTAAAATATACAAACACTAGTTTTAACATAGATATAATATAAATAAAATGAAAGTGTGTTTAACGTAATACTATTCTGCTTCGAACTGGGCTAATCAAGATGGGCATATGCAATGTAGTGTGCTATGAGGGAAATTTTGCCCGGATAGCGGCATTACGACCTACTCTTATATCGAATTCCAACTGTCAAGGGATCTTTTGCGTGCACGCCAATGTGTACACGGGACCTTGGTTTTTCGTCCCATCCGAACGACTAGACAGCTGTCCTTATCAGGCCCTCCGTCCTGCATCACTGACATATAAGATATGCATACTATCTTTAATAATAATAATAATAATAATATCTACTGTAAAACATGCGAAATAGACATAGACGTAATAGACATAGATTTACTTTAGCTAGGACTTTGCTCTATTCTTATCGCAAGAATGTCGCTATAGTTTTAAAATAAGTTATAAATTTTGTAAAGAGTAACATTCATCTCACCTAAGAATATAATCTCGTTTTTCTATGTAAAATCTGGTAAAATTTGAAGTTTTTAGCAATAGTTGTAATACACACAGCTGATTTCCACAATTTGGTTATAGCTATGACGTCATATCATTATGTCGTCACAATAGGCATGTAACGTTATCCAGTACATATTTTTTACAATGGGTCGGTACGAGGAAGAAGAGGTCTGGTAAATCCAATCTTAAATGACGTCATGATGTGCAAAGATAAAAATTAGCTTATTTTACATAATAAATGTAATGGTTTTTTGTGTACAAGACGTTTATAATTAGCCGCTTTCTATTTTCTTTTTTTTTTCATAGACATCTGTTACCGTGTTAATAGTCGTGTAGCATCCATGCTTTCATGTGTTCCGAATGGTGTTCCATCTAATAATAATACCTCCGTCCTCATGTGGAATACTGTTGAATGTGACGGAAAGACAGACTGTGTCGATGGATCTGACGAATCAAAGGAAAAGTGTCAACAAAATCCAGGTAAGTAACCGTAAGTGGCATCATGTTTTAAACGATTTGTATCAGGCTATGAATTATACAAGCACTTAAAGTCTATTTATATGCAAGACGCTGTGGTTTTTCACCAAGGCCGCCGAAAGAATTTTTCTGCGCCAGAGGAAGACAAATTTTGCCCCCCCCCCACACACACATACACGCCTATGCAAGAACATTAAGATCATGAAATAAAGTACAATGCATATGGTTTTTAACTTTTCCTCTGCGTAGAAGGGCATTGGGGAGCGGATCGGCACGAATACCGGCCATGTTTATGTGGCCCGTGGGGCTTCATGATTCCAAGGACGATGTGCCGCGGGGAACCCCGATTACATTTTGACTTAGTCTTACGGGAATACACCTAGTTCGAAATACAGGCCATAGATGTTTATCACTGGAGCGATGTACCGGATGCAGCGCGATGCCTTCTCCAACACTTTGGGCCTGGGTTTCACGTTAACAAGAGTTTTGAGATCTTAAATTACTTATAAAATGATTCTGATATAACTTATTGAATTAATAATAATAATAACAGTAGAGACATCCTCTTATTTAATATCAAAACAACATGAAATATCAATTTAAAATACACCTAGTTTGAAATATCTGACTCTTTCCCCAACGGCCTTGGGTTTCTAAAAGATATAAAGTTCTGTTTTTGTCAGTTTTTGAAGCGTCCTTGATTTTTGAGAATTATCGATTTCGCTGACTATGAATCCATGGAAAGGAGAGAGAGTGAGAAAGAGAGAGAGGAGGAGAGAGAGAGAGAGAGAGAGAGAGAGAGGGGGGAGAGAGAGAGGGGGGTAACGTTCACTCGACACAAACCAGGTCATTTCGGGACTAACATGGTTTTAATTTCAACAATCCGCTTGCGCGTGGGGGTCTTTAGCAGTGAGGGGGGGGGGGGGGCGGAGGACCCGAAGAAAATCCACGAGGTTGTCACGCCAGTTGACTCAATGACAGACCTTACCTTATGAAACAACGCGCTCGCGTTAACACCCCCCCCCCCCCCCCTAAGAAGAAGAAAAACAAGATGAGTAGCGGTTGGTCCACAAATCTGTCAAAAATCAACATATTGATGCTTAGGGAATCTGACAAAATATAGCCTTATCAAAATCTCTCACTTAAACAAGTTAGCGAAATAATTATGCAGGTGAACGCAGTCCCTGACCAAAATTTGATATTGCCTTTATATTACGATGTGTTCAATTCTTTTAGTACTTCTAAGTCAGAAATATTCACTGAAATTAGAATGTTGAATATTCAACAATCTCGACCAACTATGTTTGAGTAGAAATAGTGGTTTATTAATACTATTGCGTTTTTGTATTTTAACAGTGGCATCATTTAAAATCAGTTCTGTATCTTATGGTATAATAGCCTGTTCTATAGTTCTGGTGATAGTTGGATCTTTTTTGGCTCTCAGAATTCGTAAGTGTACTGGGTATAATTAAATCTATCTGTTTACAACCGATGGTTCAACCCCTCAGTTATATTACGTTAAAATGAAATGGGGTTAAAACGTCTTATTTTTCTACAGCAGCTGGACTAGGGAAGACTGCTACGAGTCGTAGGGATTGGTAATTCGCAGACCAGTCGCAAGAAACCGGGTGAAAAGTTTGTATGTGCAGTACCATAAGTCTTTACGGCAGTCTGCGATCTTCTACGGTGCCGAACACATGCAAGTGACACGCAAGACTCACGCACGGGTTTACTAGAATTTTTCCCGAAGACTGCCCGTAGTAGCACGCACGGTCGGTTGTGAGACTGGCTTAACACAACCAACACGGGATTCACCTCTAACATCAAGAACCCTGCCATTTGATATCTGAGAATCGAGATTTGGCCGCAGTTTCAGTCATGACCGATTGAGAAATAGCGCCTAACCCAAATGGACCGCGTTTCAAATGCTCTGGGGATGTTTCATTTAGCTGATTTAAATAATTTCTATTTTCTTTCAGATATTAAAAAAATAGTAGGACGTTAAACCCCATTTCATTTCATTTCAGATTTAAAACAAGTAAAAGAACAAACAAATATAGTAATAAGAAGAAATGAAAATGCAGATAGAATCTATAGTATGGGAACAGATCCTATGGAATCACAAGACCTTAAAGCCCGAACCGTGTCGACTATAGAAGAGGAGCCAGAATATATTATTCCTGAATTATCCCATTCTTTTCCAGGAAGTTCAACCTGTCAATCATGTTCTGACTTGCATTCGATGCCATTAAATGATACATGTACACATGCTGAGAATAAAGACTCCTTACATTTTGTTGATGACAATGGAATTAAACACACAGAGCTTTGATTTACATTGTAATTTACTCAACAGTGCACAAATGTAAAATATACATTATTAATTATGATTTAATGCATGTCAGAATGAAGTAAAGAGGAGATGTTTTTGTTTTACCTGAACGGATTTTTTATTTATTTATGCATTTATCTACCGTAAACACAGAAGTACTTGTACTTTATTTATTTTAATGTACATTGATATCAATTGATATATACACTCACACACAACTGCTTAAACATACATTACGCAAGGGCTAAATCTGCCTATTGCGGGTCTTAATTAGGCCTGAAATGTTTTCTAAATTATTAAATAGACATTAATTAACTTATCCAGGCCATAATCAACTCACGATCGCATCGGATTTCTCCGATATTAAATAGATTAGAACAGGTCAGCCATAATTTGATTTAAGCTAAAAAATGAAGGAGCGAGACTTAGCTTCGAACAACCAGTACGGTGGTTGAAAATATTGCACACGTCTTGTCAAATCTTCAAAGGCTAATATCTTCGCTCGCAATAGAGTAATTTGAATGAAATTTTCAAATTATTCATTTTACATTATCTATTTTCGAACCATTATAGCAAGAATGGCTAGCTCTTTATCTAAATCTTACATAATGTATCTTTAACCAAACAGAACTCTCAATGTAGTTATCAATTGATAGTTAGCAAGTAAATAGTATGTTCACTTTTCATATTTTGACACAATATTGTACATTATTAAACATTATCACATATTTTCTTTTTTAAGATTAATTTATTATCATGGATTTCATATTTTCACAAATAAAATAATATTCTAATAATTTCGATTAATTTGTAAATTAATTTTTAATTTTTGTAAATTAATTTTTAATTTTTGTAAATTAATTTTTAATTTTTGTAAATTAATTTTTAATTTTTGTAAATTAATTTTTAATTTTTGTAAATTAAGTTCATCAGTGATGCAGGACGAAAGGCTTGGCAAGGGACAATGTATAGTCGTTCGGATAGGACGAAAAAAACGAGGTTCCGTGTAAACATGAGAGAGAGAGAGAGAGAGAGAGAGAGCGAGAGAGAGAGAGAGAGGGGGGTTTAAGGTTATACATGTACAGTTCACTGTGTGCAGAATCACATATGGTATATTTTTATTTCAATCATTTTCACGCGGGTTTCGTAAAACTGATAGGAAATCAGAGTGAAAATTCGGGCGGACCTTCCCTTTGCCCCTAAAAGACTGGGGACGAACCCATGGACTCGTTGAGATAAAAAGTGTTATGATGTTTACATGAAGCGCGTGTTGAGATAAAAAGTGTTATGATGTTTACATGAAGCGCGTTAGACCACTCAAGTGAAAGGAAATATTAAATTAGATAAGATCCAATGAAGTAGGTTTGTCGATCGATGACCTTTTTAAAAGTATACTCATTCGTAAACAAACCTTTAAGTCCCCAAAACACTGTTTAACTCTATTCATAAAGGACATCTTCTATTTGTTCGTTCATCTGAACTCTGCTCATCGGTCCGATGGCCCGCTATGAACCGTGACCAATCATTGCTATTGAGGTGTGGACTGTCTTCGCAACACAATATACCACTGGGACCACTTCGTGACAACACATTTTTTTATTTTCCAGATCATAATGATAATCATTTGTGTTTTTGCACTTAGCATATATAAAAAGACGCAAGTGAAATGGAATCTAGCTTAGCGTTTCAAACAATTAGAGGATAATAAGAAAAGGTCCAGAAATTCAAACTTATTTATTTTCTTCAGAGATTGACAAACCGCTTGGGACACTCTTACGTAAGTACATTTTCGATTCTGGATGTTATGGTGATTTGCTGTTTGTACTTTTAAAAATACCATATTAGGAGATAAAAATGAAAAGAAATTGAGTTCAAAGCCATACGTTATTAGGGAAGTAGGGCGAAGTGCCGCTGTATGCGCAAAATTTCCTTTATAGCACACTGTATGGCACATGCCCGTCTTCATTAGCCCAATCGGTGCATAACAGTAGGATGTTAAACTCCATTTCACTACCTATTCATGCTCTGCAATATTTTCTAGATATACTATTTTTAGGGTCGCCTGTCCAAACTCGGCGGTTCTTTTCTACGGATCCCCCCGTCCCCTCTTACTGCTAAAGACTCCTACACGTAAGCGAATTATTGAAATAAAATTGAACTATATTGAATTTGAGTCTTCCCCGTTAATGAGCCAGCATACTCACCGTAACATCGTGGTTCGGTTTTTCGTCCCATCCTAATGACAGAACACTGTTTGTACCAGGACCAACGTCTTGCATCACTGGAAAAGCCTTACATCCCGGGCTTCATCCTCGGCCAGCACCAGGATCGAACGCCGGACCTTCTGGTTTGTAAGCCAGTGCATGCCTTATCCACTAGGCTACTTTACTGAAGAAGGTTTATAAACTGTTTAAATGTATTAAAGATGCATTATGTAACATATAGAAATAAAATGAAATGGGGTTTATCGCCCTTCTGTCCTACTCCGACTGGGCTAATACAGTGTGCTATGACCGAAATTTTGCTCGGACAGCGGCGCTATGGCCTACTCCTATATCGAATTCCAACTATCCGTTTTTTCGTCCCATCCGAACGAATAGACAGCTACCTTCGTAAGGCTCTTCGTCATGCACCACTGACAAGTGGAATCACTCTGGAAAATCCTGATGAACTGTCTCGGCCAACACCAAGCTGGCCGTTCTTGCTACAATAATTCAAAAATAGACCACGAAAAATGAATAAATTGACAAGTTCATCCAAATTCCTTTATTGTAGCGTAGATTGTTTACTATCGCCACACCGGTAATTAATTATCGAGACTAAATCTCGATTATCCATTTGATCTTAAAATTTTTAAATCTTGCGGTCGTTCAAATCCATGTTCTTGAGAGATGTATTTAGACTTGTCTTGCGAACGTCTAATAGTAGTTTATAGTATGACGTTAATTTATTACTTAACGTATCTTCACTTAAACCCCTTGTTTTTATTGTGCTGTTATTGTCACCTCGCCAGGGGGTGTTATGTAGTGTGAACAGCAGAGAGTAACATTTGTGAGTTTTACTTATATGCCCAAAGGACAGAGCTGATATTTTGTTTATTTGATAATACCCTTTTTAGATAATTTAAAGATATCATTGTTGATGATGGAGATCTTGCTTGTTTTGTGTTTTTGCTTGGCTGTTTATTTAAACAAAGGTAAGTTAGATATCCATTTTTTACCAAAAGATATATAGGTTTTATAATGGGGCTAGGTAGAATATATATTTCATGAACAATTTTGGGGTCTATTTCACAGTTGGCGTGGCCAAATTGTTTTCTTGAGTCAAGCTTTACCGATCGACAAAATTTTGAGTGGCATGAAGTTACTTTTTTCGTAGGTTTAGCGTCAAAATATTAATGTAGATAAATATTAAGGTAGAATATATGTTATGTAATGCATTACATGTACTTGGGTCAAGCGATAAATTTATTTTGGTAGGTTTAGCGTCAAAACAGGAAAGAAATAGGACATGTCAGTTACACATGCACGCCTGTCGAATTTACAAAAGATCTTTATATTAATTGTATTATTCACAATTTTTTAATATTTTCATGGACCATAAAAGATATACATATATTTTTTTTTATTTTTACGATATACATTTTGTATTGGAACGTAGTACGTAGTAACATATATTTTCTGCTTTGTTCAATTACGGTATTAAGCGCTTGGGTGAATAACGTTGAGTACAGAAGAAGATGTCGTCAAGCAGACGTTAAGCGGCATAGTAGCTTCTGACATTTTCTGCTTATTTTCCTCAAATTTGATAGAAATCAGGCGCGGAAGGAGCGTGGTCCGATATCAATTGTGGGGGGGGGGGGGGTGAGGGCCAAACTCGCAGGAAAAGGCATCTACAGCGTTCCGTTCTTTCAAATTGTCTGGGGGAGGAGGAAACATACAGCACAAAGTAAATATAAAAAGAAATAAAGAATCTGATATAGAATGGCTATTAAATATATATCCACAAACACCATAAATTAAATACACACACATCGTTTCAGGTATGAGAAAGCGATTATTTACTTATATGATACATGCATGCAATGGTTTCAATACAAATCTGATTAATAAAATACCTTTTCGGACAGAATTACCATTTTCATTCACCGTTGAGCTCTTTTTGCTGTGGGTACTTCAGATCGTTATTGAGTACCATTTCCTTTATGAACGTTGGACTGTAATGCTAATATGGAAAGAAGTAAACACATGAATTACACAAATTAGAAAACAAAAATGAAATGAAATGAAATGGGGTTTAACGTCCTACTGTTCTGCTCCTATGCTGGGCTAATGAAAACGGGCATACACCATACAGTGTGTTATGAGGGAAATTTTGCCCGGGCAGCGGCACTATCGCCTACTCTTATGTCGAATTCCAACTGCCAAGGGATCTTTTACGTGCATTCTAATGTATACACGAGACCTCGTTTTTTTGTCTCATCCGAAGGACTAGACAGTTGTCCTTCTCAGGCCCTCCGTCCTGCATCACTGACAAGGGGGAACCACGCCGGAAAATCTCGATGAACTTTCTCGGCCAATGCAGGGATCGAACACCCGACCTCCAGGCTAGCGAGCCAGCGTCTCACCCACTTAGGCACAAATTAGAAAACAAATATTCTGGACGTATACATGAATGCAAATATATTTAATATTGTTAGCTGGTTAATTATATATTTCAGTATTTACTTAACAAGAATTTAAACAAATAACACTAGAAATCCCAACTAAATAAATGTACTGATCATTGAGATGGTGGGGGGGGGGGGTGGGGTGGGGGGGGAGAGTTATATCAGCAATTGGCTTACCTTCTTAAATATAATTCAGTATTACTAACAAAACCAATTATTTCTAAACAGTATCAATTAACAATAATCTGTATAATATCTAGCTCTTTGGGAAGTGGATGAATGCAGGGCACCTAACCCACCTCCCTGTTATTAATAGAAATAAACCATCGTTTATACTATGGTACTTATACTCCCCTATGATAGACTTGACTGGAATTAATGCCATCGTACTTATACCCCCTCTGATATACTTGGCTGGAGTTAATACCATGTTACTTATTACTCCCTCTGATAGACTTGGCTGGAGTTAATACCATGGTAATTATACCCACTCTGATAGACTTAGCTGGTGTTAATACCATCGTACTTATAATCCTCTGATAGACGTAGCTGAATTTAATACCATCGTACTTATAATCCTCTGATAGACTTAGCCTGTGTTAATACCGCCGTACTTTTACTCCTCTGAGAGACGTAGCTAGTGTTAATATCGTACATAATACATATGAGATAGGCCCAGCTGATGTTAATATCGTCGTACTTATACTCCTCTGATAAATTTAGCTGGTGTTAATACCATCGTACTTATACTCATCGGACAAACCTAGCTGGTGTTAATATCGCCGTACTTATACCCCACCACTGATAGGCGTGGCTGGCGTTATACCATTCTACGAAGTTAAAATTCCTCACCTGACTGATTTGGTCGATTGGATTTAATACCGTCATAGTCATACTTATACTCCTCCTCTGGTAGACTTGGCCGGGTTTAAAACCGTCGTCTTTATACTCCTCCTCTGATACTAGAATAGGCCGGGTTAACGACGTCGTACTTATACCGTCGCACTTATACTCCTCCTCCGACAGACTTGGACTGGTGTTACTGCCATCGTACTCACCTTGAGCCGGATTTTACTACCACCATATAATAGTCATCCTTTTGTTAGTGATATAATTCTCTTTGCTAATAATATAATTGACTGGGTGTTATTACCATGGTACTTTATACCATCTCCTTGCTAATAATAGAATTTGGCTGGGTATTAATACCATGGTACTATATACTCCGCTTTTTGCTAATAATAGAATTGACTGGGTGTTATTACCATTGAACTTTATACCCATCTCCTTGCTAATAATAGAATTGACTGGGTGTTAATACCATGGTACTATATACTCCGCTTTTTGCTAATAATAGAATTGATTGGGTGTTCTTACCATGGTACTTTATACCCATATCCTTGCTTATAATAGAATTTGGCTGGGTGTTAATACTATGGTACTTTATACACCGCTTTTTGCTAATAATAGAATTGACTGGGTGTTATTACAATTGAACTTTATACCCATCTCCTTGCTAATAATAGAAATGACTGGGTGGTATTACCATCATACTATATACTCCGCTTTTTGCTAATAATAGAATTGACTGGGTGTTATTATAATACTTCATACCTATCTCCTTTCTAATACTAGAATTGGTTGGATGCCACTGCCACCGTAAGTCTTTATATCTTTTCATTTCAGGGACCTGCTACATGACCGGTGCCCCTTTTGGAACATGTTTAACAATGTATCCCCATCATGGATCAGCAGTACATCAAACAACAGATACACCTTTTACTATAACTGTTGATAAAGCTACCTATCTGCCTGATGATGAACTTACAGGTAAGATACACCTTTACTATAACTGTTGATAAATCAACCTAATATGCCCTTTATTATAACATTTGATATAACTACTTTGAACTGTTGATAACGCTGTCTATCAACCGTCTGATTTCCCCTTTATTATAACAGTTGATAAATCTACTTTGGACTGTTGATAAAGTTACCCATCGACCGTCTGATGCCCCCTTTATTACAACAGTTGATAAAGCTACCCATCAACCCTCTGATACCCCCTTTATTATAACAGTTGATAAATCTACTTTGAACTGTTGATAAAGCTACCTACAGATCGTATGATGCCCCCTTTATTATAACAGTTGATAAAGCTACCAATCAACCCTCTGATACCCCCTTTATTATAACAGTTGATAAATCTACTTTGAACTGTTGATAAAGCTACCTACAGATCGTCTGATAACCCCTTTATTATAACAGTTGATAAAGCTGCCTATCGATAGTCTGATATTCCCTTTATTATAACAGTTGATAAATGGAGAATCTCCTACGAGTCTTTTATGATATTGTTTTTTTTGATATCAAAAAAGACGAGTAGGAGATTTTATTTATCACTCAATTTTTTCTTGCATGCACAAATAAATAAATATAATTCTTTGCTATAGTCTTCACTTTTACTGAAGCTGATTACATTCAACCATTGCAAAGACCTTTATATATTGACCCAGTGTTTCCATCAAGGTCAATTAAATAAAAATAATTCATTTTTAATAAAAAAAGAAGTTTCTTTTAATAAAAAAATAAACTGTTCTTTGAAAATACAAAAAAGTAGTTCCTTTATAACTGACCAATCAAATTGGGCGCTAAAGCTACCTATCAACCGTCTGATATACCCTTTACATAATTAATGTTGATAAATATACATATCAACTCCTGATACACCCCTATACTATAGCTGTTCTTAAAGCTACCTATCAGCTTTATGACACAGCCATTTATGTAGCTGTTGATAAAGCTACCTATCAGCCCTATGACACACCCATTACTGTAGATAAAGTTACCTGCAGCACTGTAACGTTGATATTGTTGACGCTGCAACAACTAACTGTTATAAATGAAAATATACGATACTAATAGACCAAAGTCGTCAGTTTATATACATAATGTGTATTAGTTAGTTAAATTGTTAGTAATCAGGCAGTAGTCATTAAGCGTTAAAACTGTGACTGTTGAATGATATACATCACTATTGTCGAAGTTTGTGTATTCAATAGTGATGGTTCTTATAAATAGTCACGCTTTCACACCACTAATGACATCTTTTACAGCTAGTTACACACCTTCTAACCCCTTTCTATACATACTAAACATAAGTTTAGAATACTTACCACTTCACTAGTCAACGGTATCAGCTTACTAGTGCTATCAAGCTTCTGATACACCCTTTAACTGTTAATAAAACTACCTGCCACATATTTGATGAACTTACAGGTACGTATTTACTCATATTCCTAAAGCAATGGCCCGAGAAATACCTCTCTGACCATTGCTGGATTGGCTTCTGATACTTGAGCTTTTGAGGGAGTGTGTCTATTCTTACCTTTCAATCAAATCTATTCCAAGTACAGCAACATGACAGTCCTTCATTTAATCTGGGGTCTTCCCTAAAACTTTGGACATTGATTTAAGGTATTAAAAAGGGTGAAAGTATTGTTCATCTACATACAGTATTGTTTACATTGGTAATTTACCAAATGCTCCCGGGTTGAGGTGATATTTGGATGGTAATTTGTCCTTTGTTGTGAGTAATTGCTAAGATTGTCGAATATCGTTGATCAGAAAGCACAACCAGACATTATAATATTCTAATTGTATATGGTTACCCCGGGCCTGGTTCGGCTTGGTTCCGTGGGGGTTCGAGCTCAATCGCATCAGTTACGTGTCTGTTCTGTTAGGTCTCCCATTTTAATATTGAATCTATTTTATAACAGCCGAGAATTGATTCATCGTGTGACTTCATTTTTATGTTGACGGTCTTAGCAATTCAACTGTTCATGGTAGTATAAATCTTTGGTTTAGTGTTTATTTCTTAATTACTTACACGTGTTCGATCCCTACATTGGCCGACAAAGTTCTTCGGAATTTTCCGACGTGGTTTCCCCTTTTCAGTGTTGCAGGACGGAGGGCCTGACAACGACAGCTGTCTAGTCTTTCGGATGGGACGACAAACCGAGGTCCCGTGTATACATTGGCGTGTACGTAAAAGATCCATTGGCAGTTGAAATTCGATATAAGAGTAGGCCATAGTGCCGCTGCCCGGGCACAATTTCCCTCACAACACACTATATGGCGTACGCCCGTCTTCATTAGCCCAGTAAAGGAGCATTTCATTTTAATTTATTTACACGTTTGTCTTTCTGGTGCGCCTCTGTTTAATACCCTGACAATATATATTTTAAGTTTCTATTGTTTTTAGTTGTTATTGGTTCGGCAAACGATACAACATTTAAAGGTCTAGAGTTGAAAGTTCACAGATTGATTGGAAACCAAGAAGTCCTAGAAGGACAATTTACACAGTTCAATACGACTAAACTCCAAACACAGAACTGTTTCGGCGGAGACAAGGTATAGGAGTTGGGTCTTAATATAATGGATAATAAGTTTAAAACACATGCGTATGAATTTCCTTTTTAGACGAGAAACTCTGCCTGCACAGCTACTTGTTTTGTTGTTCTTTATGTTGTTGCAGGGGATCGACCCTCTTCGAAAAAAGCCGAAGGCGCCGCCAATACAATCGCAATGGACATGCAACTTGCCTTGTTTGTGTCTTTGGCAATTGCGCATTGATCGATGGACTTTGATTTTTGATATGACGTAACAATTCCAAGATGGCTGCGATGACGTCATGCTCGGCCCCTGATCTGTATTACTCAAGGAGTTGAGTTTCAAATGATATATTTAAAAACAATGTTTATATTGTAATCACATTTATATGACTGTTTTTTTTCTTCATATTCCAGAATTTAATAACACACACAAACAACAACACAGTGACGTCATTGACCATAAAATGGCGAGCACCGAGTGAGAATATAGGAGATATACAGTTTACGTATGTATACTCAGATTTTAAAGTAGCTAAGTCTCTAACTCAATATCATCCAAAATCTTCAACATTGAAAACACGAATTATTTGTCAATTTAAATCAACATTGATGTTGTGATCTTACCGGGAAGAGATGGGCCTCTGATATCCAATATTTAAGACAAAATAAACATTTTACCATTGGTACACGAATCGTGTACCATAATGCGTTTCAGCGTCATTTGTAATAAGGGACTTGAAAAACGAGGCTAGGCATATTCCACATGTCTAGTCAAACGGTGACGCCATATTCTTATCTGGAGAGCATGTGCAATAAATACTATCGGTGTAGACTGGAATAACCAGGCACTAGTAATTGCCATTCAATTGAGACTTCTGGCGTATTTCGCCGAACATAAATGATTAGAAATTACAGTGAAAACAGAAAAGATTGAATGTAAATCAGTTTATATACATTCATATTACATTATTATATGCGTTTCGACCCATTTGTGTCAATTTCTAGGTTCCAAATATTAGCGATTTAGCCCCTTTAAATTACGTTTGTATGCATCGATTGAAGTTTCTGATCACCAGGTTAGATGGATGAAAATAAGCGGGGTTTAACGTAGCTAATGAAGACGGGCCTTCGCCACACAGTGTGTCCAGGCAGCGGCGCCACGGCCTACTTTTATATCGAATTCCCACTGTCCAGGTGCACGCCAATGTGAACACAAAAACTCGGTTTTTCGTCCCATCCGAAAGACTAGACGTTGTTCTTTGCCATAACTTCCTTCCTGCACCATTGACAGGACGGAACCGGAAAATCCGGAAAAAACTTTCTCGCCCTAGGCCTCTGATATCTGGTCCGAGCGACCCCTATACATACTATTTCAGCCTCGGGACAGCCGTAGTGTAGCACCGCCAACTTCGAACAGACAGACAAACGACAGTCACAAATATTAGTATAGATTTTCATAACGGCAGAGAAACAATTATTACTAGGGCAAAATCATATTAATATTTTCCATCACAGACCAACAATAAACTCCGTTATTATTAGAATTATTATGTATTCTGAGTAACCAGCCTTGATACGAACATATCTTGTCTCATGTAGGGCAACAATTAATTATTATGTAGGGTAAAAACATACGAGTAATAACATTTTCCATTACAGACAAACAATATACTCCTTTATTATTAGGATCAGATTTTGACAGTCTGATTAAAACAGAGATTCTATTTCGTTTCGTTTTACTTGTCCTTACCAAACTAGGAACTGGAAGAGTTGTTATATAACCCGCGTTCTGGGTGAGGGATTAGCCAATGAAACGGTCTTTGGTGGCAATGTCTTGGCGTGCGATGCACGGAACTGTGGGTATCCCACTAGAAACATCAACGCTGATTGGTTAATCAAATGTCTAACATCATAAGGTCAAAAGTCGCTCTTATAACCCCTGAGTGCGCGACCTTCCACTACAACCGATCAGATCCCCATGTAGTGGAGGCCATCGAAAGTATAAAAGACTATACGATTATAGACCTGTATTTGAATAAGATTATTTTTGATAACTATGTTTCATCTATATCTTATAACCCCTGAGTACGCGACCTTCCACTACAACCGATCAGATCCCCATATAGACCTGTTGTTGAATAAGATTATTTTTGATAACTATGATTCATCTATATCTTATGTATTCTGAGGAACTAGTCCAATAGCTTTTTATTTTCATTAAACGCAGGGCAACAGTTGTTGAAAGTTTCAGCGTCTTTTGGTTTAATGTGAAAGCAGTAGTACAAGCTGGTTCTACTGATAATATTGTCGATCCTGTATTTCAGGTAATCTACTTTGGTCATTTCGAAACTAACTGATGGCAATTTTCATTATAATGCCAGCGGTGTTCCCGTCTAGTCTTACTCTTTTGAATAACAACTGCAAAGGATTTTTTCGCTTGCACGAGATGACTCTCGATATGTCGTTAAAAATACGGATAACCCTCGATTTTTCGTTAAAATCAACTGAAAAATAGTAACATGGTATTTTCCCTTGAAGCAGTAATCATATCCTACCCCGTATGCGACAGTTGTCATTGCTTATAGCGACCCGGATTTCAGCCAAGATATCACTGATGAAAAGTTGCTAATCGCTGTTAACTTGTAATAAGCAGTTATGTATACTTTCCTGTGATTACAGATGTTAAGTTATTATATTTCCTCACGAGTGTTCAATTTTCTTTGTTATCACCTACCATGCGTGAATCCTGTATGTAAGATTAGCAGTAATAGTATGTGCATGTCTGAAAGAAAACAAAAGAGAACTTATATATGACAGTTTTTGAGATAGACACACAAAGAAGACTGCAGTCAGGATTTTTATTTTCTATTGTTATAAGCGTGAGAAAATTTGCTATCAGATGAGAAATTATTTACTTTTCATGTCGACATCGACTAAGAAAAACAATATTCGACTTATTTTAGTTTGAACTTTGTTACGGTTCATCGATAATGGCTATGCAAATAGTGTCGGTGTTTTTCACCAGACTTAAGGCGAGGTCACATTATTAAAGATACATTTCCACGTACAAACTGGGTGATTTGATGATATATTTGCCCTATCATAATCTTGCTTCAAATCCTTCTAAAAAAATTGTGATTGTTAGGGAATACCCCTGCTATAAAATACATGTATCGATCAAAAGACGTAATGTTTGTGTCACGTGACTTACCTATCTGGGTACCTAGCAACGGGTGCGAAGCTGGAGGAGAATGCATTATGTTGTCTTTAATCGCTGACTATTTATTACAAATATCGAAGCCCAATAAATTCTCGGATTATCCATTGCCCATTTTTTTTTCTTTGGATTTAACTCAAAAACTGTTGCACCATCAAGTTTAACATAGATACATCAAACGCTCACTAACGCTGGGAGATTAGGCAATCTTAGCGTGCTACTTTTGACGTTACTCGAGCAGACATCACTAATCGTCGGGTTGCCGGTTAGGGAAACCCTTACATTTTTGCCCTGTATGCAACCCATGGGTGTTTTTCATGGAATCCAGTATTTTTCTAGTAAGATTGGATGTTTCTACTTTCCATATATATACCAAAATTGCCATACTTTTATTGAAAAAAAACACCAGATAAATCCTTTTCTGGAAAAGTATCTTTAACTACAAGATACAATTTTGACTCTTTAAATTCAGATGTTTCACACTATAGATATGGTTTATTTCTGAGTGAAGTAGTACGGTTGGTTGATTTTTAAAACCATTCTATGGATAACCGACAATGGCCGAACATTCTATCGTTTTCTTTTACACCAACGATAATTTCCAGTAAAATCCCCGAGACCGGAACAATGATCGAAAATGTTGGCTTCAAATCTGCAGTGTGAAAACAGATTTATTTTGGAATGTTGAACTGTTTTCTAAATACAGAATTTCCAATCAATATTGCTCCAGGCAAAATACGTACTATACGTACTATTGCCGGAGAGTTTTTTTTGTCTTACGTCGTACTACTACTGTCCAGTCCATATTTTATGCAAAATGTCCAAAAATAACGAAAAATCAAGTAATTTTAGTAATTGTTCACATAAAATATAACTTAACAATTTATGGAATACCAGGGAATACTTGTTCCTATTAGATACGGTAATTGTATTCCATAAAGATTTGTGTTTTATGTATAAAAGGATCTATATGAAATTCTTGCCAGTGGAACCCACGAGACCAAAATATAATAATTCACGGTCTTACGCTCGGAAAACTGTGGAGCCAGATTACCTGCTTATTTGGTGTTTTTTTTTTTTTTGGTTTTTTTTTAAAAAATAATCTGGACCCTTTTTTCCGATAATATAAACATTATTATCCTGACTATAGTGTTGGATATCGTAGGGGAGACTACTTGTACAATCACAAGGACAAAGACTAGTAGAGCCACGTCGCGTCTTATCCTATCCGATGATCTTATGCATTCCTTTAAAAACATAACGATATATTATTCGTTATAATTCCAAAGAGCCCAGTATGTCACAATCTGGTAAAATTATTGCACAGTTGTTCGTTTCGAATGTTTACTACGGCTGGTTAAAGGATTTATCTATTGGCTATGTCGCCGTTTTTCAGTTATTCCCCGTTCCGTCCGTCTCAGAATCATGCAATGCACCAACATTCTAGTCCAAATTATCATCAAGAATGTCTGTTCAAATGACGAAAAAAAAGTGCAGCTAACCCGTATCTGTCGGTAATTAAGGAATAAACACGACTAATATGCAATCGATCACCGTGATTTAACTGTGGTTTGGGGAGATTAAGAGTGTTTTCGATCATTTACAAAGTCGTTTTTAGGGTAGGTCTGTATTTGCGACCTATATCGCTATTAATTATGAATGGATTTGAATTAAATTGTTGTAAGTGAATATAATAAACGCAATTTTGTCCTGATCATACTATGTGGTCTTTAAACCTCATGGTGTCTACCTGTATCTGTCGATAGACCAAACTGCACGCAGACATCCATCTACGTCATACTTCGAGATAATGATCACTGCGTTCGTTCGTTCGTTCTTGGTGTTTAACGTCTGCTTCCACATAAGTGATATCGCAGACAAGACATAGGAGAGCCGAAGCTGATTCCTGTTTTTTAGAATATGATTTTGCAATCTTTCCATTTGGCCTTAGGCCATGGATTTGGTTTAGTGGGAAGTTCTTCCCTTTATTTAATACAAAACATATCGTTTGGTAGATGATCTCGTCTGCTTCTGGATTGGTAAATGTCATCGTTTGGGGTTAGTGTTTAGGTGCCAGGCCCGTCTTATCGTGGCCTCCCCTTACTCCACTGTCCCACTCTCTGGGTTTGGTATCAGTTTTATTTGCGGAATAGTGTTTAGGTGCCAAGTTCGTCTGACCGTAACTCCCCCTTACTCCACTATCCTGCTTGTTTGGTAGATGTCATCTTTGTGGGGTTTGTGTTTAGGTGCCAGGCCCGTCTTATCGTGACCTCCCCTTACTCCACTATCCCACTCTGTAGGTTTGGTGTCTGTTTTTGGTGGAATAGTGTTTAGATGCCAAGTCCGTCTGATCGTGACTCCCCCTTACTCCACTATCCTGCCAGTTTGGTATAAATCCCCTATGTAGTTTAGTGTTTAGATGCCGGGCCCGTCTAACCGTGACCCCCTCTTACTTCACTATTCTACTTAGTCCAACTGTGTCCATTAGGGAGTGGATTTGTTCGAAGATTTGCAGTTTCAGATCTGGTCTCGGGAAGAGTAGGTTCTTAGTGTTGAATGGTATGTTGTTGGTCTCCATTGTTCTCACTAGTTCCCTTCTCTCCTCCTCGTATACCTCGCAGTCTACCAGGACATGGTTGACGGTACATTCTTCTCCGCACTCACAGATGATGATTTGGTGTTTGTAGTCTCGCAGCCGCTCTTTCACCCTTAGTTTCGATATAAGTCTACAAATATCTCTTCTAGGGTGATTGAGTGTTGTCTTTGTGTAGATCTTGTCATCCAGCCGGAATGATCACTGCCCTAGTTAGCCTCCATTTAAAACGCTCACGTGATCATTTAGGGGCTGGACTTATCGACTGGACCACTGCTTTGTGTACACAACAGAGTAAAAATAACCCGATCAAGCACCTATTTTATGTAAACACATCGCATTAGCAAAATGTCAACTTCTGCCACTCCAGTAAAAGCGATATATAATATGTGCTAGTGGGTAATATTGCAATACATTCTTTGCCATTGTAAACTGTTTTTAGAGTTTCAATCTGTTTATCTTTCAAAACAAGGTTAGATACTCCTAAATTTGTCTTCGCAAACAAAACCGCCTCTGTGAAATTATCTTTCATGGGCGCCGCCATATTGAGTAATTAGAGGACTATTTTGTGATTCGGCTTTGATTAGTTTGACATCTTTCATACATACATCGGCTAAATAAACATATTTAATTTCATTCAATATGACAATAGAAGAGAAACAAATACTTCTAAAAATTACTAAAAGCATACTCAGTGTTTTCGACTAAAAGCGTCGATGTAAGAATTAAAATGTCGGGTAATTAGCTTAGGGCCTGTTCTCAGGCGGAACTAGCTGTAGACGGCAGTCTAAGTTTGGGATGTCGATAGACTACCCATAAAGCTATTTGTATATAGAATAAATTATTTGTGATTTATTTCGACAGGTTCTGCTTGAACTATTTTCTACTGGTCAAATTTTGGCCAAACTAAATAGTCAATATCTTACAGAGTCACAATGGGGGTTGCCTTAGATAAAAATTGAACCTTTGTAAAAACATGTCAAGCGAATGTAAACCAATAACTCTGTTTAGTCAGCATTGGTATTGTTACGCTTTATGCATATCTGGTTTAACTTCTCACCTATATTTGTGGCGGGGGTTGGATGGCCGAATGGTTAGCGCGTGCGCGCTGCACGATAAGGTGAAATGAAATGGGTTTAACGCCCTACTGTTCTGCTCCAAACTGGGCTAATGAAGACGGGCATACGAATTCCAACTGTCAAGGGATATTTTACGTGCACGCCAATGTGTACACGGGACCTCGGTTTTTCGCCCCATCCGAACGACTAGACAGCAATCCTCGTCAGGCCCTCCACCCTGCATCACTGACAAGGGTGAGCATCATAAGGTCTGTCATTGAGTCAACTGGCATGGTTTCGATTCCGCGGTTGTACGTGACAAGGAGTTGGATCACCTGTCCCATTTCGTGGGTTTTCTCCTGGTCCTCCGGTTTCCTCCTACCATATGTTAGTCCCGAAATGACCTAGTTTGTGTCGAGTGGACGTTACCCCCCTCTCCCCCCCCTCTCTCTCTCTCTCTCTCTCTCTCTCACGGAGAAACCCACGAGTACACGGAACTATACTACATCCGGTTTCACTAAGATTCCTATACCAGTACTACGTTAGGTAATGAAATGGGGTTTATCGTCCTACTTTTATGAACCGACTGGGATAATCAAGTAATCAAGACGGGCTTTACGCCATACAGTGTGCTATGGGGGAAATTTTACCCGGGCAGCAGCACTACGACCTACTCTTATTTCGAATTCTAACTGCCAATGGGTCTTTTATGTGCACGTTAAAGTGTACACGGGACTCCGGTTTTTCGTCACATCTGAACGACAAGACACTGTTCTGGCCAGGTCCTCTGTCCTGAACCGCTGACAAAGGAAAACTGCGCCCGAAAATCCCGAGGAGCTTTCTCGGCCAACACCGGGAGCGAACCCGAGACACCCTGGTCAATGAGCCAGATTCTAACTCACAGCCTTGACTGAACCACCACCCAGCTCCGCCCCCCCCCCACACTCTCCCGCCCTAAAGCCGGATGCACCGCTAGCTTTCTGTATTGACCGTATTATTTGTGGCTTACATAAAACTTTTGTATTTAAACCCTGTTGAAATCTGTTAACTTTAGGGGGCTCACGGTGGCTAAGTGGGTAAGACGCTGGCTCGCTAGCCTGAAGGTCGGGTGTTCTATCACTGCATTGGCCAAGAAAGTTCATCCAGATTAAACCCCATTTCACTTCATTTCATTTCTGTTAAAGGGACAATAACACTCTTGCTGGCTTGACAGCTCCAGAAAATAAAAAATAGCCTTATTCAAAGTACTAGATGTGTTAGTGTCCTACCTGTTGTGTAAATTATCCATTAAATCCTATTTTACTTGTCCAGAGGGTTCAAAAATATTTTTAAATCCAAGTCACATTTGAAAAGCTTTACGTCAGGCTTTTCAAATCATTAAGTTGAATTTTTCCAGTTTTTTATATTAGGTGTGTTAAGATGAAATTTGTATCATCAATTAATTGGAATATTGTAAAATAGTACAATTTGTTGACCGGAATAAAGATTGGGACATATTATTCAGTTACAACAAGAGTGGTATTGAGCCTTTAACTTTATTTTTGCAGCTACCTAAAATTTCAGCAGAGTTTACACCAGTTAACTTCAACACTTGTGGCAAAACTAAAGGCTGTTTTTTTCATCCACATACCTGTACTGGCGATGACTGTACAATGGCTGTAACCTATGAAGCTAATGATGACGATACTTATAGTTTTGAGATGTTTGGAAAATCAACTAATGGTGCTGGTTATATTTCTACTGCTCTCTCTAAAGATAAATCGATGGTACACATTACTATTTTTACGTGTTTTGGGTGGCTGAATTGTTTAACGTATACCCTTTAGATCATAAGGTATGTCATCGAGTCAAGTAGCGTTAGTTCGATTCCCAGTTTCTATGTGACAAGGAGCAGATGCGCCTGTGCAATCTCGTAGCTATCGTCGGGTCCCCCGGGTTCCTCCCATTACTAAAGGGGTCTTTAACAGTGGGAGGAAACTGGAGGACCCGGAAAAAACCCCACGAGGTTGGACAGACGACCCTACTCCTTTGTCACGTACAACCGGGGATTCGAAACCACGCCAGTTGATTCAATGACAGACTTTATTATACAGTACGCCCGTGTTAATCATTCGGCCATCCAACCCCCAATATACCGAATGTTAATATTATTAAATATAATAAACTTTGTAATTCAACCAAACAATCAATAATTAAGAAATTATGTATGTTCTTTAAGATAAAACTATATGTCCCATCACTGACCGTCTTCATTAGTCTAGTCGGAGCAGTAGAGCGTTAAACCTCACTTCATTTCCCTTCACAAACGAAATGAATTGGGCTATAACGTTCTACTGTTCTGCACCACCCGGATTAATAAAGACCTCGTACGCTATACAGTGTTTTTCGATCAACGCGAAAAACAATATAGTGTAATTGTCAGATCCTGCGTCCTGCATCACTGACACGAGTAAACCACGCTGAAAAATCCCGGGGAATTTTCCGATAAAAAATTGGATCGAACCCCAGACCTCCTGTTTATTTAGCCGCTCAGGTTTTTATTTTAAATACATAATGTGCTTTCATTCCAGGGTGAAGATGCTGCATTTGTATGCTCAATTGAAACTGATAACGTTGCTGTGCGTTTTGCTTATAATCCACGTCATTATACAGTACTAGACTATACAGTAAGTATCATATTATTCAAAAATAAATAAACATACATTATGCAAGAGCTAAATATGCCAATTGAAGGTATTTCTTTAGGCCTGATATGTTATCTAAATTATTAATCAGTCATTAATTAACTTATCAAGATCATAACCAACTCTCAATGGCATCGCGAACCTGCGATATTTAGTGGATGAGAACCTGGTCTGCTGTTTCTGATTAAATCAAAAAATGGATAATCGAGACTATGTTTTTTTTATCGTACTGATTTTAGTAATAATGATCGAGGCTAGGCCCAAAATTCAATCGCTAAATGCTGACCGACTGATCAAATTGACTGAAATTTTCAACAAATTCCCTTTATATTATCTAGTTTTTAACTATTATAGTGAGAACTACCAGCTCTTTATCTTAATAAAAGCAAACGAACTATTGGGTTTATAAATGAAGAGACTGGGGCATCTGTAACTAAGATTGTTCACTTTAGAGACAGGTATACAGGCATACCATTGTATGAAATGTGATATAATTGTCTACTTGTTTGTACTAACCGGGTTGGTCGAATGGTTAACGCGTGCGCGTTGGATCCGAAGGTCCGTCATTGAGTGGAGTGATGTAGTTTTGATTTCCCGCTTGTACGTGACAAGGCGTAGGGTCGCCTGTCCAACCTCGTAGATTTTCTCCCGGTTTCCTCCCACAGCTAAAGTCCCCTACGCGCAAGCGAATTATTGAAATGTAATTGAACCATGCGTTAGTCCCGAAATGATCTAGTTTGTGTGGATTGACTAGATAATGTTCTTTGGAAGGCCCTTCGTCTTGCACCATTAACAAGGTGAAACCAAGCTTAAAAACTTTCTCGACCAAAACCTGGTTCCAACAACCCGTTAATAACTGGGCCTCCGTGGATACATGTCTTTTGGGGATAATTACAAGATACTTTAGATCCCATAAGTTTGTAAAGAAACGTGAGACGTGAAGAGAGAGAGAGAGAGAGAGACGCAAACTACGTCATTTCGGGACTATTATTAGTTCAACTTTTTTTTTTCAATAATTAGGTAGCGCGTAGGGGTCTTTAGCAATGGGAGGAAACCGGAGGACCCGGAGACCCCCCCCCCCACCAGGTTGGAGAGGCGACCCTACTCCTTTTCACATACAACCGGGCAATCCAAACTACGCCAGTTGACTCAATACAGTAGCATGACCATATACTATTGTAAGCGGGTTTATTTTAATCACCTTAAATGCCCAAAATTGTAAAAGCTGCTTCTTATGCTGAAATAATACCTCATATATAAATCTTTATAGAGAGGTTTCACCAGTGTTGAAACTCGTTACGAGAATGGCAACATCTACTGTCGATTTACCAGAAATACAAACACAACACTGCACCAGTTACCAAACCTGAATTTTGACCTTTCTGAGTCACATTATCTTCAAATGGCTTATGGTGAAACTTACAGTAGTATGTATTTTTGATATATATAGTATATTAAATGTTTTATTAACCATCGACAGTCTTATCTAGATGACTTACATGCATACAGGCAAGTTTGTGAGCGAGGTAATTCAAGCGACTCCGACTTTCCGTAATACTCCTGTCAGACCGGGTGGTGTCCTTACTGCGCTGCTAAGGGGACGGAAAATGATGGCCATAAGCGTGGTAGAAACGCCAGATATCGTGAGGTGATCTCCATGGTCGCCAATGATCGCCGAGTCACGGCGTTTGTTTTGAGCATGTTCAAAACAAACACCAAGGTTCGGCAATCTGACCTGGAAAGGGAGTCACGGTGGCTAGGTGGTTAAGAGGCTGGCTCGCTAGTCTGGAGGTCGGGTGTTCGATCCTTGCATTGGCCGAGAAAGTTCATCGGGATTTTCCGACTTGGTTTCCCCTTGTCAGTGGTGCAGACCGGAGGGCCTGACAAGGACAGCTGTCTAATCCTTCGGATGAGACGAAAACCGAGGTCCCGTGTATACATTGGAATGCACGTAAAAGATCCCTTGGCAGTTGGCATTCGATATAAGAGTAGGCGATAGTGCCGCTGCCCGGGCAAAATTTCCCTCATAGCACACTGGATGGTGTATGCCCGTCTTCATTAGCCCAGTATAGGAGCAGAACAGTAGGACGTTAAACCCCATTTCATTATTTCATTTCTGACCTGGAAAGCTGTGAAAATGCGGCTTTTTTTCAAGTTTGGAATTTTTTGGACATTTTCTCGCGCTATGTTCGCGTTTGCCGGCGACCTTGTGCTTTTCCTGGTCGCCGTACGGTCGTAGCAGCGCAGTAAAGACGCCATCCCGGTCTGACGGGAGCATAACATAACGCTGTAACTGGTACTAAAAAATCTTAGACACGTCTATCGTATACTATAAAATAACATTAAAAAAGCCTGTTGGTTTATAAGATATTCGAAGCGAGGACAAGCACCCCTATTTAATCATTTAGTAAATATTCAATATTATGCCAAGTCTTCGGCCCAGTAAGTTTGATAACGTTCCCTTAAAATCGCCATAGACCATTTTGTCCAAGAGGTGTTTGTCTCAAATTTTATATTAAAACCTCTAACAAAGAACAAGATAGTTCAAGCGTCTTCTACATGCCCGAAGTTTCACATGGGATCATGCAGTCGTCTATCCACACAGGTTTCGAGATGTGAACGGGGAAGGTTCCTCGGAATTTTCCGGTGTGGTTGTTAGTGGTGCAGGGCGGATGACCTCGCAAGGAACAATGTCTAGTCATTCGGATATAAAAGTAGGCCGCAGTGCCACTGTCCTGACAAAATTTCCTTCATAGCCCCAAATTTATACATATTATACCTGGGTGATTCGATCCTCTAATGAACAGCGAGTGTCTAGACATCGGTCGTACGTATTGTGTACCGATTTGCAAGTACCTCCGACAGTCGGTAAAGAATTCGGTGTCGTTTAATCTTTCGTAACAAAGTTCGAGTGAGCTAAGGTTATTGTGTAAGGAACTTGACGAATGCCATCTTTCTAGAAACTCGACCGACCACCCCCAAATATGATGTTTATCCTTTTGTGTGTTCTGACTAGATCATTGAACGTTATTAATAACGCTACGGGGATATTTATCGAAACGTCGTACCCGTATATAATACACCATTGATTGTTGCACCATAAAAGTGTTTTTAATCCCAGTAATATGTTCACACGCAGGTTATCACAAGCAAAGACTTACACAGTTTTTCTTTTCATCTCATTCAGATACTGGTCAGGCGAAAAAGCACCAGGTTGCTCCAGTTGTCACCAAGGATTTAGTGTATCTAAAGGACACCAATGTACTGACAGTAAACGGCCCTGTGTCTGGGGCTAAAACACTACAGTGTATTCAATTGACAATTATCATGTCTCTACTATTTGTCTGGTTATAAGAACCGAATGCGAGAGAAAATAGTAATATTTAATGAATGAATTTAATTACGAATTTGCTTGCCCACACCTTTCAAACCACCCACTCAGTAGCCTCTCCTCAATATATTTTTGTTCTATGTAAATATATTCACTGCATTATATGGAACCCACTTTTCTTTAGCGAGAAACCATTTTGAATATTACAACGAAAGACGACAGTAATATTGTCATAACCTGTGAGCAAGACTTGGATAACTTTCATACATCAACAAACAAAGAAAACCCACACACTAATAAGTCTTTGTTTAATTACAACGAAGCTACCCAACACATCTTTCGACTGTATGGATGACGATTATAGAGTTGCGCCATTAAAACAACAATCCTAACGAGATTTTGGCGGATTTGCCTCGACTCTACAGCCAGATAAAAGGAAATAATGATGCCTGACTGGAACTTTATATTTTTAAACCAATTTCAATCACCAATATTATTCCCAAACTACTGTTTTTTTTTAATAACTATAATTACATGAATAGTTGTTCTATAAATATCAATGTTAATACTACAGCAAGCTTTACAAGAGAAGTAACTATTTATAAGCAAGCGGATTCAATAATCTTATATATGATTTTGACTGGATGAATCTATTTAATTATCTCAATTTAAGTGATGCCTGTGAATTATTTTACGATACTTTAAATCAGTTTATCAACGAATGCATCGCCAAAAAATCCCCAAAAAACGGTTACAATTCGACGTTCTGACAAACCGTAGTTTAATTCCGAAATACGTAAAGCGAGTAGAAAACGTGATAGGTTACGAAGAAATTTCTATTCAAACAAAAAACTGAAGGATTTAAATGGGTACAAAAAAATTTAAATATTATGATAAACTTATTTCAACTATTACTGATCCAAATAATACGTCGAGTGATGTTTGGTACTCAAAGAAAAACTGATCAGGGCAAAATATTAAAAATGTTATAACGACTTTAATATCAAATACGCGTACTACATTGTAAAGTTGCCTACACTGACTGCGAACAGGCTGAATTACCGAATTCGTTTTTTATATCCGTATCCAATAATGAATCACTTAGCGACTCATTAAAATTTCGTTCTAAAACAAACACTAGATTTAAAATGCCGAAGATACACAATTCTGAAATAACTGTTAAATCTTAAAGGGCTAATCCCGATAATTTCCTTGGAGAATAAAACTGTTTAATGTTGTTTTAAAATCCCTTAAAATCATCTACCTAGGGGCCCAGCAACTAACTCAATATTTGTGATAAGTTTTCAAATAAATGAAACCCGTCAGTCTTCATCTGGAAATGGAGACCGGTGTCCCAAGCTGTATTATGCGGTGTCTAGATAAAACCAGACATTTTTTGTATAAAAATAATGTGTAGGTGAAATTTACCTTTCGTTATCAAGTACAGCATTTGGGTTATTCACTGTATAGATCTCACAATGAACGGGAATCGATTATCAGGTCACCCAACGAAAAAATTGACTCGAAATCTTAAAAGGGTTACGTGTCTGGATAAGCAGTTTTGACGGTCAGGTCCAAACGACTCAATATTTTGAGCTGAAATTTTGAGATAAGGTAAATACACCATTCCTCTATATTTTGGCGTTTAAATTTCATACATACTCAGACTTCTATTTTTGAGACTCTGTTCAAATAAGGGATAGTCCCTTTAATATCAAAAAAGTAAACGACCCTGATAGAATAAGTAATCTCCTCTTAAAGCATCTAGCAAAAAGTATTTCTATCTCCTTATCTGCACTATTTAATAAATCTTTACAAGAAGGAATATGCCCAAAGATATGGAAACAAGACAATGTTATACCACTATTCAAAAAAGGTGACAAATCCGATGTCACTAATTATCGACCTGTATCGTTGTTAAGTGCTATTACTTGACAATTTAGTTTTTAAGCATATCTACAATTATTTTCATTTTAATAATTTACTAAATTTCTATCAATCTGGCTTTAGACCTAAATTATCGACTGTACACCAAGTTTATAAAATGGCGAAAGTTCATCTTTCATCTTTTGTGACATGGGGGGTGGGGGGGTTGGATGGCTGAATGGTTAGCGTGCGCGCGCTGTATCATAAAGTCTGTCATTGAGTCGACTGGCGTGGTTTCGAATCCCCGGTTGTACGTGGCAAGGAGTAGGTTGGCCTGTCCATCCGCGTGGGTTTTCTCCGGGTCCTCCGGTTTCCTCCCACTGCTAAAGACCCCTACGCGCAAGCGAATTATTGAAATAAAATTAAACCATATGTTAGTCCCGAAATGACCTAGTTTGTGTCGAGTGAACGTTAAACCTCATCTCTCTCTCTCTCTCTCTCTCTCTCTCTCTCTCTCCTCCTGGGGTTAATTACGGTGAATTAGATTTTAAAAAAATAAGATACCAATATAGTTTCTTTATAATAAAGATCCTTTGAAGTGATGTTTCACGTGACTTTCTATATCCTGCATGATTAAAGTCTATCGTATTTCTTACCCCTACCTTTTTGCTTCAACCTTTTATTTAAAAAATGACAAAATAAAAAATTAAATGTAAAATAACATGTTTTATATGAATAAAAAATTAATTGACTTATTACTCTTTTCGTCATGTCATCTAAACCGCAGAATTTTTTAAAAAAAAATTACTGAAGATTTAAGACATACTTTTTTTTTATGAGTTTTAATTAAGACTTTTGAAATGCTATGAACGCGTTTTGGAAATAAAAAAAGGAAATGAGGTTTAATGTCCTGTTCTGCACCGTCAATGCTAATGAAGACGGCAATACGGTGTGGAATGAGGGAAATTATGTCGAATTCCAACTGTCAAGGGTTCTTTTAAGTGCACGTAAGCTTGGGGTGATTAGTAATGGGTCAACAAAAGGGGAAAACCGGGTTAATTTCAGAACTGTGCCCGTTTACTACCGAATTCGCGAACGCTCGTGAACATGATACAGAAGAAACTTCCCAATGGAATTTTAAAAACTTGGCAAGATTGGTACAGAGACCATATAGATTTTTATAAACTTAGGTTGAACTAATTTGCTGCTAGTGGACGAATGGGGGGGGGGGGGGGCTGAGACGCCCCATCTATTTTATTAAACATTTGGCACCTGGAGTTATTCAAATCGATCATTCAATATGAACATGGTTTGGTGATGCCCAGAGTTAAATGATTGATTCTACCCCCCATCCTCCTCCACCCCACACGACTCAAATATCTGACCATGCACTCAGACATGTGAGAATTATTTAAGATATCTATAATTGGATGATATCTTTTATATTCAAATGTAATAGCGCAGCGTGTTCACCAAAGTTTACAACGATAATTTAAAACTTCTAAAAGCTCCCCCCCCCGCCCCCCGCCCTTCACGCTGAAATGTTTGCTCGGGGTCATCACCACCTTTGCTCACTCTCTGCACGCCACTGTGGCTATTTAATATTCCCATTGATTAATTTTAAATTCATATCGCCATGTCCGTACAAACCAGTTTTATTTTATACATTCAATTACTCTTTATTGCATAATAACAACAGTCTTTACGTTGAAAGTAATCATATTTTTCACTTTTGTGACATTGACTTGTTGGGAAGAAAAAGGTAAAATAATTAAATGGAAAAATATCAATTAAAGATGTTTAAGTAACAAATAAGCATTTATTTTCCAATGTATTTAATATTTTTCTTGACGGAAACATAAATATATTATATATACATATAGCGATACAACAGAAACACGAACACGATTTAAAAAAAATCTAAATGTACAAATATATATACCAGGAAATATATTTACACGCTTTTTTAACAGGACGTCCATTGAATTTATAGCTCTCATTACATATAATAATTAATTCACACGGTTAAATTTAACGATTGTTCCGACCATATATAAATCAAGTCTTCACAACAGCGAAAATTCACAAGTACCAACACAGCTGACAGTTACGGTTGTCTTCATAGATATTTTGTTTTGTAGTGTTCAAGAAGGTCTTAATATATAAACAAACAGTTAGGTCTCTTCACATTTTTTTTTACGTAATCCGTTAAAAGTTGTTGGATGTACGAATTTGGATTTCATAAAAAAATTTAATCAGTTTCACCTTTAGTTTTTGATACGATGGTGATGTTGTTTGCGTAAAAGGTTGAGTAAAATTTAAGCCGTGTATTATAATATTCGTGATAATTGACATTTAACTGACATTAAAGAGAAGATGAAGATGTGTGTTATTTTGTGGTTTATTTTAGCCGTTTTTCCATTCACAGGTAAATATAGTCTTATATAATCTAGTAATGAGTTAAAATTTAAGACAGAAATATGCAGCGTTTGTCGCGTACGTCTTTCACTATTGATACATAGGTTTGCATGTATTTTATTTTCGATGTTGTATGGAACACGAAAACGAAATAAAACGGAGTTTAAAATGTGTATGGCTCTATTTTTTTAACCTTAAAATGAAATGAAATGAAATGGGGTTTAACGTCCTACTGTTCTGCTCCTATGCTGGGCTAATGAAGACGGGCATACGACATACAGTGTGCTATGAGGGAAATTTTACCCGGGCAGCGACACTATCGCCTACTCTTATATCGAATTCCAACTGCCAAGGGATCTTTTACGTGTATTCCAATGTAAACACGGGATTCCGTCTCATCCGAAGGACTACGCAGCTGTCCTTGTCAGGCCCTCCGACCTGCATCACTGACAAGGGGGAACCACGCCGGAAAATCTGGATGAACTTTCTCGGCCAATGCAGGGATCGAACACCCGACCTCCAGCCTAGCGAGCCAGCGTGCTACCCACTTAGCCACATGATCCCCATTTTTAACCTTAAAATAGACAAAAATGGTTCTAACAGCACATATTAATCTACTATGAATGTACATATGTATGTAAAATGATTTATATTCAATTTATGAAAAATAAAAATGTAATTTCTAATCGTTCGGTGAAATACATGAACAATTCAAATTGAGCGGCAGTCGTTTACACCTGTTTAGTGCATTTTACGCGTTTTTAAAAAATTATTTTACCGTTTGTGAATCAACCTTTACTAATTACTTCCACATTGTTTTGTAAGATATGTTTTTATTCGTTCATTACAAAATGGCATAAGGTACACGACTCGTGTACTGATTATAAAATGCTAATTGTATCCTAAATATTTTATATTAGTTTCACGACAAGATAAAAACATCAATAGTGATTGAAATTGACCAATATTCTGATTCGTGTTTTTAATTTCGAATATTATGGAAAATATTTCTCCGCCCTACGTATGAACCAACTTGGCTAATAATGTCTGGCATACGAACGAACTCGGCATTATTCCCCACCCAACTGTCAAGAATTACGCGTCCAGAACTCCTCTCTTGCAAGAGGAAAGTATTCAGCATTTCAGCATGAGAATGGTGTACAACCCCTATGTTGAGAAAACGGCACATTAATTACTGTGAGTCACGGTGCCTGAGTCAGATGCTGGCTCGCTAGCCTGGAGGTCGCGAGTTCGATCCCGGTGTTGACCGGGATTTTCCGGGGTAGTTCCTCTTGTCTGACAAGGACAGCTGTCTAATCGCTCGGATGGGACGTAAAACCGGGATCTCGTGTACACATTAGCGTGCACATTAAAGATCCTTTGGCAGTCGTTATTATGTATAAGGGTAGGCAGTAGCACCGCTGTCCAGGCAAAATTTCACTCATACTACACTTTATGGCGTATTCCCGTCTTCATTCGCCCAGTCGGTGCAGAACGGTAGGACGTTAAAACCCATTTCATTTCTCATTAATTACCACACCTCAAACCAAGGCAAATTGTGAAGCACCCCATTGATTGTTAAAAAATGATTTCACCCACTCCCCATAGTATCTAAAAGATTAACGCATTAATAATTTTTAAAAAAAAAAGCAAACATTTAAAGTAGAAATCCAACTACGTGTACCATCTTCACATGTCGTTGCAATATAGCAATGTCTCAATATTAGACATTTTATGTATCCTGTGTAATAATGTATGGCGAAATTTTAATTATTTATATACATTATAAACACCTGCAGACGCTTATAGAAGGCAGACATCTAGCTTATAATTTGATGTATATATCAGAATGAAGTAAAGTGGTTTATTTTGTGTCTAGTTGTTAGGATGATACAAAAATTTGACATGCTATATATTCTACATTATAACATCTGCAAAAACCTATAGAAGGCAGACAGCTAGCTTATAATTTGATGTATGTATCAGAATGATGTAAAGTGAGGAATTTTTGTAAATGGACGTATTTTTATTTATTTGTGTATTTATCTACTGTACTCTAATGGACGAAACGTATGGGATGATATTATTTACACCTGGAACCAAAATCTTCGATAAAGTATATTTCGTCTAATGGTTTGGATTGTTCGTACTTGGTTTTATTTTATTTTGAGTTATAAACTGTGACGCCATCGATGGAAGGTCCAACCAACTGTTAATAATTGACTTATCTATATACCTGTATGACAAATATCGAAATAAGTAATATTCAGATATTTATCTAAGGATGTCTCAACTCGCTGGTTGCAACTCATTATGACATGGTTGGGAGCGTTATATCCCAAGAATTGCTCCATTAACCCCAAGAATTCGATCTCATTTTAATAAAAATGTTTAGAAGAGTATATCTCGGGTTGGATCAGCGAATACATTTGTTTTAGTCGAGTGCATTAAGCTTAATAGTAAAGTGTACCCAGATAAGAATGACGTCAGAAAAAAATAATAACAAAATAGGAAAAGACGGCATACAACACAGCGCGTTAATTCAATTAACTCGGCAAATATAATTGTCTTTTAAGGGGTAAAATCGTCGCAACGATCATAATATTATGTTGACATATTACCTAATAATATCGCGGTGACCATAAATATGTCAATGATGGTAGCAATTATTTTATCCTTGAAAAGACAATTGTTGTCGATCTATACTACCCGTTTTCATTAGCCCAGTCGGAGCAGAACAGTAGGACGTTAAACCCATTTCACTACGACCTATACTCTACGATCAAATGGAATATTATGTTGTCAAGCTTCAGCATAGCAATATCTGAAAGCAAGCGTGTACATTTAAAACGAAATAACATAGCCCCTTGATTCAATTAACTCTGTAAAAATTGTATTTTGAGAGATAAAACCATTGCAACCATTAGAATAAGTTGACATTATTACCATATTAAAATGGCGGTATTTATCGCGCTATTGACCCCATGCGCTTCCATATTTCAATTCAATAAAAACACCAACCATTAACTATGGAAGCGTATAGGGGTCAATAGTGCGAAAGATATCGTGATATTAATAAGGTAATATTTCTACATATTGTGATCGTTGAGATGATTTTACCCATCAAAAGACAATTGTTACCAAGCTAAGTTTACCAACGCGCTATGTTTCATGTCGCCATTTCATGTTAAATATGCACGTTTGCGTGAAGATATTGCTACTCTGAAGTTTTGTCAACATATTCCATTTATGACCATGCGCTATTATGTTACGGCGAAATGGAATATGCTGAAAATACCTCAGAATAGCAATATATCAACTCAAATGTGCGCTTTTAAATCGAAATGACGACTTTACATATTTGGTATAGCTTTCTCATGATGAAGGAAATATTTCGAACTCTAACACAATCTTTTGATATTTTCAGGTTTTTGCTTTCAGAGCGGCGCGCCTACTGATTCTTGTTTAACAATGTATCCACACCATGGATCAGCTGTACATCAAACAACAGAAACACCTTTTACTATAACTGTTGATAAAGCTACCTATCTGCCTGATGATGAACTTACAGGTAAGATACACCTTTTCTTTTATTGTTGATAAGGCCTACCTTTACTATAAGACACACCTTTACTATAACTGATGATCAACTTACAGGTAAGACACACCTTTACTAGAACTGATGATCAACTAACAGGTAAGACACACCTTTACTATAACTGTTGATCAACTAACAGGTAAAACATACCTTTAATATAACTGATGATGCACATACAGGTAAGGCACACCTTTACAATAACTGATGATCAACTTACAGGTAAGACACACCTTTAATATAACTGCTGATGAACTTATAGGTTAGACACACTTTTACTATAACTGTTTCTCTAACCAGGGGGTACAGGGTTCGATCCCGATTTTGGCCGAGAAAGATTATCGGGATTTTTTCTAGCATGGTTTCCACCGTTTTCAGTTATGCAGGACAGATGACCTGATAATTGCAGCTTCTAGTCGTTCGGATGGGACGAACAACCAAAGTCCAGCGTACATATTGAGGTGCACGTAAACGAATCCTTGACAGTAGAAATTCAATATAAAAATATCAAATGGTGTCACTGTTCGGGCCCCTTATGGCACAGTGTATGACGTGTGCCCGTTTTCATTAGCCCTGTCCGTGCAGAAAAATGAGACGTTAAACCCCATTTCATTTAAATGACATTCTAAAATTATACATTTAGATAGATCCTATTTCGTTACGTTTTAATTGTCTTTAGGATCTGGAAAAGTTGTTATATAACCCGCGTTCTGGATGATGTGATTGATTAGCCAATAAAACAATCTGTTGCGGCGAGTTCCTGGCACCGGAACTGTGGGTATCCCATTAGAAACACAGGTCCTATTTACCCAAATCACGCAGGCCCATTGACTCAAATCATACAGGTCTTATTCACGGGAATAACTCGCAAATAATAAGCCATAATATTATTTTATTTCAGTTACAATATCATCCCCAACGAACACCAAGTTCAAGGGAATTGAGATGAAAGTTCACAGACTGCATGGTAACACAGAGATTCTAGAAGGAACATTCATAGATTTCCCAACAGATAAACTTCAAACACTCAGCTGTTTTGGAAGACACGCGGTTAGTTTTTGGTTATCACAAAACAAAATGGTGTAATTTAATAAACTTTTCATGCACCAACATTTCACTCCTAGCCTTGAGGCGGAACCCTAATAAAGTAGAGCAACTATGCCTAACATCGATTCCTGTAAACGTTAGGCTAGTCCTAGTCCACAGAATTAACTCTATCGAGATTGAGAGTTGTGCAACAATTCCTCGCATAGTTACCGACCCTGTCACTGAAATATATATTGTAAACGCACAAAATGTCAGAGTCTATGCGATTTTCTCAAGATTGTTAGGATTATCGACATTCAATGCCTTTTCAGAGAGTTACTACCCTTGTCACCAAAACCTTATAATGTTTTGTTCAAATATTGAGAGAATGTTCGAATGGTTAAAAGTAGGAATTCTATAGCACTGTAGTCTCGCAAACCGATTTATGCATAGCTAATGTCTGTGAGCCGAAAACCTTGAAAGCCACCATCCCCGAAGATGACTGGAAACGTTACGTTGCAACATTACAAACGCAATCTGCTAGTTTTAATACGTTTTAAATCGGGTTTAAATTCATCCAGATTGGATCAAATGATAGAGTGATCGCAATTTCAAATAGCGTTATCTAAATGCAGTCTTTAAAAAAAATAAAATTATCCCCAAATACTGTACCGATATATTGCATCTATTTTTGTTTGAAGTTGATTAGAAATTGAGCATATGGAACTAAAAGACTCTCGTTGCAGTAAAACACGGTATTATAATACATGATTTTTTTTCTTCAGAATCTGATAACGCACCGAAACGGTGAACAAGTAACGTCATTGACCATCAAATGGCAAGCACCTCACTATAATGTAGGAGATATACAATTTACGTATGTTAATCAAATTATATAATTTAAAGCGGGAATCACCAGTTTTATCAAACAAAATCACAATTTTATTTAAAGATGCATTATGTAAGATTTCGATAAAATGAGAGAGAGAGAGAATGGGGTTTAACGTCCACTCGACACAAACTAGGTCATTTCGGGACTAACATATGGTGTAATTTTATTTACATATTTCTCTTGCGCGTAGGGGTCTTTAGCAGTGGGAGGAAACCGGAGGACCTGGAAAAACCCCACGAGGTTGGACAGGCGACCCTACTCCTTGTCACGTACAACCGGGGATTCGAAACCACGCCAGTCGACTCAATGACAGACTTTATGATACAGCGCGCGCACGCTAACCATTCAGCCATCCAACCCCCCAATTTCGATTAAGTGATGACAGTTCTCGCTGTAATAGTGTGGAAAATGATAATGAATAAGGAATAGTTTGAATATTTCAGTCATATCACTTTTTCTGAGCCGAGTTATGAATGTTATAAGAAGGGCTTTTTCTCGATTTTTATGAAACCGCTGTTAGGATAATCTACAAAATCTTTATTAACCATTTTTAAATTAAATTATTTAATAGCATACTTGTTTTAATTTGTTCAAAATCACATCCTTTCGATGATGTAGGGGGTTGATTACGACCTTGACATGTGAATAGATGTCTAATTAAGAATTTATATAACATTGGAGGAAAGAAGGAAGATCTGCAATAGGCAGACTTAGCTGTTACATATTGCACCTTTAAGAGAGAGTTTACCAGTGGGGGGAAACCGAAGAGCCCGGAGAAAATCCACAAAGTTGGACAGGCGACCATTAAACCATTCCCCCCCCCCCCACCCTGTCCTCTCTTTTACTTACAGAATAACAATAAAATCCGATCACAGTCAAGCGTCTGTGTAAACCGTGAACGGTATTCTTGACTTTTAATATAAACTATATTATTCCCACACAAAATCCTGTAATTATTATTTAAAGCTCACCGGAAATCTTCATAAATTGTTTAAAAAATTCAAGTAATTATGCCAACATTTATTAACCTATCCATAAGTATAACACGATCCCGAATGTCAATGTTACCTGCCTATGTTAGCTATTTCCGCCGTTCTCCGTGAATAGTCGTAACTCTCCGCCAATAAAACATTATTTAAAAATTTATGAAGCTTTTCCGTTGAGCTTTAAGATTCAACAAGGTTATCGCTATAAGTTATTAGTATAACACGACCCCGAATGTCAGTGTTACCTGCCTATGTTAGCGATTTCCGCCGTTCTCCGTGAGTAGTCGTAACTTTCCGCCACTAAAACATTATTTAAACAATTTATGAGGCTTTTCCGGTGAGCTTTAAGATTCAGCAAGGTTCTCGCTATAAGTTATTATTACGATCAGTTTTTGATGATATATTATCACATGTCTATGTTTTTCTATTACAGAGCAACAATTGTTGAAAGTTTCAGCGTCTTTTGGTTTAATGTGAATGTTTTAGTATTAGCTGGTTCTAATGCTACCATTGTTCATCCCGTATTTCAGGTAGATTTAAATAACCTCCTAATAACACATCAGCAATATCTCTCATCAATTCTTTATAAAATTAGTTCAAAATTAAAAAAAAATAGAAGTGAAACGGGGTTTAACGTCCTACTTTTTTTGCATTAACTGAACTAATGACGAATGCATACTCTATACATTGTACTTAATGCTTTGGGCGAAATTTGCCTGGGCAGCGGCGTTTTTAGCTAGTCTTCGTGGAGTTTCAACTCTACCCTGAAGGTTTTTTTACGTGTACTACAACGCGTAACTCTGGTGTCCCTACACCCCTGACACGGGTAAACCAGACTGGACAATCCTAAAGAACTTTCTCGACCAATACCTGGATTAAACCCGGAACCCCGAAGGTAGCCAGCGCCATATTCTAAACAAAGAGGGAAACAAACCAACACTTGATAAATATTTCTTCCGGGTCCTATTTCGAAACTTATTTCCGCCCTGTTCATAACTTCCCAAAGACGTAATTACATTGTATTTCTCAAATGGAAAAAATGTATAGACTATTGTTGATCAATATATTTCTTCGCAAGAACTGTCCTGTAAGTCGGATCATCCACTATTTTCGCTGCATCTTTTCTGCCTCCTGATTTGGATCAAGGGCGGACAACTCGTCAACTCTTAGTCGTGAAGCACGCTGCACGTTTCTCATTCATTGAAAAAATACCATAAAATTAATCTGAGACCAGGATAAACGTTTGCAATTACCTTTCATAAATCTATATTATGCAGTGTACTTCAATTACACACGGGGTTCGGTGTTGGCTGAGAAATTTCATCTGGATTTTTCGGTAGCGCCCCCCCCCCCCCCTCCTTGTCAGAGGACCTGGCAATGGAAGGACAGAGGACCTGGCAAGGGACAACGTATATAGTGGTTCCGATGGGACGAAATATGTACGTGTACGTAAAATAACCTCTTGGCAGGTGGAATTCGATATAATAGTAGGCCGTAGCGCCAGTGTCAGGGCAAAGTTTCCCTTCTAGCACATTGTATGCCTGTCTTCCTTCATTAGCCCAGTCGCAGCAGAACAGTAAGACGTTAAACCCCATTTCTTTTCATTTTAATAACACAAATCTCTCTTTGACAGCATCCCTTGAATGCACTCACAAATTTGTTATCTTTAGAATATTTCAATTATTATTCCAGCTACCTAATATACCAGCAGAGTTTATACCAATTAACTACAATACCTGTGGTACAACTAAAGGCTGTTTCTTTCATCCTAAATCTTGTACTGGTGATGACTGTATCATGGCTGTAACATATGAAGACGATGAAGATGGTACATACAGTTTTGAGATGTTTGGAAAATCAACTAATGGGGCTGGTTATATTTCTACTGGTCTATCTAAAGATAAAAAGATGGTAAGCATTCTTCAATTTAATAAGACTCAACTCAACACAAGAACGTCATTTCGTGCCTTTTTTATTTCAATAATTTACTTGTGGGAGAAAACCAAAGTACCGAAAAACTTGATGGGAGCAAAACTTGATTAGAATAATAAAAAATTGGTGTAATAATAAAATTATAAGAATAACAAAAATGGGACAACAATGATATTAGTAAGAACACGGGAAGAAATAATTAACAAATAATAACAAATTGAGAGCAACACTAAAATTAGAATAATACCAAAATGAGAGCAACAATGAAATTAGAATAATAACAAAATGGGAACAGCAGTAATAACGAAGAATAATTACAAAATGAAAGCAAAAATTAAATTAGAATAATAACCATATTGGAACAATATTGAATTTAGAATGATGACAAAATGGGTAAAAACAACGAAATTACTATAAGAACAAAATGGAAACAATAGTTTAGTTATAACAGAGTGTGAGCATTAATGTTAATGTGAGTATTAAAGTGCGAGTAAGAATTTGACACGAACACGGTTAAATATGTTTAACCTAAGAGACGCTTGTATTAAATTTGCATTGAGACTACTTGTATGTTTTTTTATAGGGTGATGATGACGTATTTATGTGTTCTATCGGTACAGATCAAGTTAATGTTCATCATTATTATAATCCGGAATATTTTACTGTCATGGATTTCACAGTGAGTAAGCATTACGCAACTTGAAATTTGTATGACTGTTAAGCGGATGATGTCTTTCAGAAAGATGTAATGCTTCGAGATAGATAGTTATACACCACCCGTTTCAAGTAAACCAGTAATTGACTACTAAGTGGTTTATTTCCAAAAAACAGTTAAACACTAAAGTGTAATGTATCCATAAAAATGAAATGGGGTTTAACGTTTCACTTGTCTGTGCACCGACTGGGATAATAAAGAAGGGCATGCGCCATACAGTGTGCTATAGGGCCTACTCTTATGTCGAATTCCAACGGTACAAGGTTCTGTAACGAGCATGCAAACGTGGACACGGGACCTTGGTTCTTTGTTTCAGCCAATCGACTAGACCCTGTCCTTGCCATACCCAATATACCCATAAACCAGTGATCCATGAATAGATGGGCAGTTCTCTATTATTATATGTTGACTTGACAAAAACGAATTACGACTTTCTGTCCCCCTACCCCCACCCCACTTACACATGCATTACTATTTCGCTGTGTTCTGTTTATATGTTCGTGTGGAATTTCAACATAGCATGTAAGTACATACTAGTGATTCAATGGTTAAATATAAAATATATGGAAGCTATGTTTTTAAATCAAATTAAAGCATTTTAAATTCTCTTTTGAACCCATAAACGTTGATATAAATCAATTAAATTGTTTTCAGAGCGGATTTGCCAAGGTTCAAACCAGTTACATGAATGGTAATATTTATTGTCGATTTACCAGACACAAGAACTCAAATCTGTACCAAAAACCAAACCTGAACTTTGACCTTTCTAAGGTGTATTACCTTCACATGGCTTGGGGCAAAACTTATCCGAGTATGTTTTCAATTATTCTTCTTACACCATCAACATTCTAATCTGCCTAAAGGCAGGAATAAATTCTATTTTTAAAAAATCAATTAATGGGGTTTGCTGTGGTACGAAGGTTGGCTGAAAAGTTCTAAACCTATCTCTGAGAGACCTGGGACCAGTTTCTCGAAATCTTAACTAAAGATAAAAGCCAAATTTTAGTAGATACTTTAATTTTGATTGGCTAAGCACTAAAATCAATCAAAGATTATCCAATCAAATTACTAAAATTTGGATTTTATCTTAGTTAAAATTTCGTGAAACAGGCTCCTGTACAAAGTCAATTGTTTCCAATTATTTTTCCACATAGTTCTTTTGAGATGTACACACTTTTGCCAACGATGAAATATCTATGCGAACAACCAAGATGTAAATATATACCTTATCTAAATCTTTGTAAAGCGAAACAAATAACTGTGTTCACGATTTCTTGGTCCCCCAAAATAGCGTCGGTCAGTCTTTTGTAACGGAACTAATAAAGTACTCTGAAGCCCCTGTCACTTCATTGTGTGTTTAATATTTAGTACCTAGCATTTCTAATTAAAATACTGAAAAATATCTTGTGTAATTTCTTGGAAAGTTGTGCCGATTCGGGCTGTTGTAATTTGTGTGGAAAATTGCGCCAAGACATCGAATGATAGGACTAAAGCAATGACAAACAAAAGCTTAGGGTCGGCGATTGGCCTAAAAATTTATTGTCGATCAGATATCTGTAAATACAGATATTCTCTCGGGCCTAAAGGCATGATGCAAGAGCGAAATCGTTTTATTATAGGCCTTTCGTTAGGCCTTAAATGTTATATAAACTATTCACTAGACATTTATTAACATGACAAGACCATAAGCAACTTTCGGTGCTATCGAATAGGTCTGATTTTAAATAGATTAAAATGGTTCGACCATTTTATGATTTAATTAAAAAATGTTGGGACGAGGCTAAGACTCGAACAACCAATACGGTGGTTACAATCAGTGCACATATCTTGCCAAACCCTCAAAGGCTAATATCTTCACTTAGAATAAAGTAATTTGAATGAAATTTTCAATTTAATATTCAGTCTCCATTATCTATTTTTGAACTGTTATAGCAAGAACGGCAAGCTCTTTATCTAAATCTTACATAATGTATCTTTAATTAACCCTGTTTTGCTATTTTCTATGTTTCAGCCACTGGCCAAGCAGCCAAACATGATGATCTACCAGTGACAACCTTTGATCATGTTTTATTACACGACAGAAAACTACATACCATCCAAGGTTCTACCCGTACCGATAGTTCTGGAGCATCGACGTTATGTTTCCTACAGTCCACCATAATAATATACATCCTCCGTAACATTTTCATATGAATTATTATAACATTACAATATGAATAAACTTTGAATATGATAATATATCACAGTGTTTATCTGAAGATAAACTTAACCAGATATTTCAAATACGATTAAAAGAAATTTCAGACTCTATAAATGACTGGGGACTGTCATTGGCATAAATGGTCTTGACGAGATATTATTATATCAGATCACAAAATCTTAGTGGAACGGCGTTCCTGATTAGTATACCACAGATAATATTACTGCAATAACGCCAAGCTTCATAAATCAATGCAAATGAATTGGGACTTTTTTCCTAATTTTATTTTCTGCTTTAACCGGGGTAATAAAGAATGATATACGCTCCGCCGTGTGCCGTAAGGGACATTTAACCTCGACTGCTGTATTTCTGCCCACTCCTCATCGAATTCCTAGTGTCAAGAGACCTTTTGAGTGAACTCGGATCTCGGTTTTTCGTCCTATCCAAACGAATAGACGTCGTTCCTTGCCGGAAGCTCATACCAAAACCATTGAATACGGAATAGTGTAACAATAAGCATTTTTGTGCATATCTACATAACCATCAAATATATATAGACGCGGTTTTCATAATCCATATTTGGCTAATTCTTTGTGTCATTTAACCAATTGAACTTTGTGTTATTTAACCAATTGAAATTTGTGTTATTTAACCAATTGAAATTTGTGTTATTTAACCAATTGAACTTTGTGTCATTTAACCAATTGAATAATGAATAAATCGACCATTCCAGAATATTAGGGATATTAAAGATCAGAAATTGCCAGCCTGAAGTAGACCCATGTTAATTCTAAGGAAGACAGGATGTAATGCGGGAGTATGCAGCTGGGAGTAGAGAAAGCTGAGTGGGTAGAAAGTTTTGTCTTTGAGTTTTATGTAGACTTATGCTGTGCCAATGCATCTGTGCTCAATATAAAAACACATTTAAGAAGAACAGTACGTGTTCCTGAATTATTATGTAGATATATTTTAGACCGTGGGCAATTCTATATCTAAATACCATTTTAAGTCTTATATTTATGCAATCTGATTTTAAATACAGATCTATATTTCGTTTCGTGTTTTATACTTTCTATGACCTCCACTGCATGTGATCTGACCAGTTGTGATGGGAGTTGCGTCAGGAGTCATACGAGCGACCTTTGATGTAAGACTTTTGATTAACCAATCAGCGTTGATGTTTCTACTGGGATACCCGCAGTTCCGAGCACAGTACGCCAAGAAATCGCAGCAACAGACCCTTTCACTGGCTAACCCCTTACATCAATCACAACACGAGTTATATAACAACTTTTCTAGATCCCAGTGTAGTAAAGACAAGTAAATGAAATTTTGAACTATAAAAGCGAAACGAAATAGTTAATAAGTCCAACAACGCGAAGTTCGCGATTTGAAACCTGCAACAATATACATACAATTCATACCTAGATGACTAGTGGTCAAAACAAAACATGTGTTGCAGGGGCAGTGTTACACGTCGGAGTTGGTAATCTTGTGATTTAAGTTCCATACTGGATTGGCTATGCGACAATACCCCAGAATGCACCAAATCGAATATTTTCTTCTTTTTTTTTTGGGGGGGGGGGCACTAGACCAGTCACCTCACTAATGTAAATAATGCATATAAATTTCATAAAGATCGGGTAATCATTTTTGTCGTTAGGGCATTCACTTTGGAAACTTTGAAGTTACTGCTATTCCAGCCCCCATACCCCGCGACGATTGATTGATTGTTTGTTTGGGATTCGAGTCAGCCACCTAAGGTAGGCTATATTGGGCCACATTGAAGTTGCTTTATTCACGGGCTGGAATAACAGGAAAATGTTCAAAATTTTCCCCAGGCGTTCTCGTCTCCGTGGACTGTAAACGATTGATTGGTTGATTGGAATTTGAGTCAGCCCACTACGTTAGGCTATGTTAGACCACTTTGAAGTTGCTGTAGTCACGGGCTGGAATAGCACTAAAACGCGTTTGAGGCCGTCAAATTTGAAAAAAAATTATGGGGGGACGGGGTCCCTAGAAGGTAAGCTCCACTTCTTCGCTTCTCGTAGACGACGGGCGCCGCCGTCGGTATGCCGAAATTTTTTCGGGCATTTCAGGTTCTGTCCCAACACACGCCTATATCCACCAAAGTGACTCGGTTGTCGCCACCCATCTTCTAACCAACCGTCGGCATAAAGTTGGTTGGTCAAAGGTAAAAACGCACAGAATACACCAGTATGACAAAGAACAAGGAAAATTCGTGAAGCCATCCAGATAAGCCGACACACCCCGCCCCTTAATCGTGACCATGACGTTTACCTCCCCAGAGCCTAAGACCAAATTACGCTACGGAGTCATCAATACAAACAACGAGGTCCCGTGTACACATTGGCGTGCACGTAAAAGATCCCTTGGCAGTTGGAATTCGATATAAGAGTAGGCCGTAGCGCCGCTGCCCGGGCAAAATTTCCCTCATAGCACACTGTATGGCGTATGCCCGTCTTCATTAGCCCAGGTTAGGAGCAGAACAGTAGGACATTAAACCCCATTTCATTTCATTTCATTTCAATACAAACAATAATTTGTTATATTTGTTAACTTATGTATTATCATATTAACTGAATTCTAAAAACATAATTAATATCAAGACGCAACATATTTAAATTATTGGTAGTTCATAATATAAAAAATATATTAAATACTGTAAACATTTTATCAAATATTATTGCCAAACTAAATATTTTATGATTATAACGGTTTAAATGCCATTTTGGGTTAACCTAACGTACGTACATTGTATATCATTATATACTATTCAAAAAAAGTAGGGGATATTTGATTTTTAAGTGTTATTAAAGTCACCTAATGAAACTGACGAAGAAACAAATGACAAAATGAAATGAAGTTCACATTCATCGATTTATTCCAAATGATCGTTAGACTAAGTAAGGCACAGATTGACCATTATAAGGGTAAAATGATACCCGGGGTCAAACAGCAAAGTTACCACAGCATCACAACCAAGCATTGATCCGACGTGGCATACTCCTAATGAGACGTCTAAGGTCATTTTGGTCCAGATTGTCCCATTCCTGTTGCAACGCAGCAGCAAGTTCTTGGACATTGGTAGGACGTTGTTGACGTTGACGTAACCTCTGTCCAAGCATGTCCCAGACATGCTCGATCCTGGCCCTGTGACATCTTGCGTTGTCATCCTGGAAGATGAAACGGCGGCCATGACGTCGTGCGAACGGCACAACATGGACTGTCAAGATGTTGTCCCGGTAGTACTGGCCTGTAATACGCCCTGCAACAACATGTAAAGTCGTTCTTCCAGCAACAGTGATGCCTCCCCACACCATAACAGAACCACCCCCAAATCGATCATGTCTGATGACGTTAACGTCTTGGAAGCGCAGGTTTCGACGACGCCACACCCTCCTACGTCTGTCCAAAAAATCAACAGTGAACCTTGACTCATCTGAAAACATCACATTGCTCCAGCGTCGATTATCCCAGTGTTGACGATCCCTTCACCAACGACGTCTTGCCTGAATGTGATGATCTCTCAAACAAGGGATCACGCGAGGACGTCGGGCGCGAAGGTGACCCTTATGCAGTCGATTCCGAATCGTCTGGCCACTCACTCTCACACCAGTGTCTGTTTGAAGACGAGCGCTGATCTGATTTGTGTGATGACACGATTTCTCAAGGCCAAGGTACGGATAAATCGATCCTGGGCTTGAGTTGTCGCCCTTGGTCGACCTGAGCGTGGTCTGTCCTGTACAGATTGTGTATCACGGTATCTGGACCATCGCCTGCTTATGACAGACTGAGAAACATTCATCGTCCGCGCCACAACCGCCTGTGTTGTGCCGATCTGTAGCATGGCAAGGGCACGTAACCTTTCATTTTGGGTGAGCCGACGCATATCAAAATTTGTTTTCTGGTCACTAAAACAATTAAACTGATGTTTCCACCCTGGAATTCAATGCCACAATGACTGTAACATTCAAAGTCAGAGTCGTGCAAATCTTGGGTTGGACCCCCATGATGATCCCAAGCATCACCTGCATTCCATGCGGTAGCTATTGGTGCGTTTGGGCGTCAAATGTAACTGGAAATGTTTCTTCTGTTAGGTTCTATAGTGACTTTTTTCGTAGTCATTTGCATATTTTAGTATTATGCCCCCAAAATCAAATATCCCCTACTTTTTTTGAATAGTATAATAAAACCAAATAGACTTATCAAATATTATTGCCAAACTAAATATTTTATGATTATAACGATTTAAATGCCGTTTTGGGTTAACCTAACGTGCGTTAATGTATATCATTATAATAAAACCAAATAGACTTATATTCTTATAAAGTAGTCATTTTTTCAATTTTTAGGTCCCAAATATTAGCGATTTAGCTTCTTTAGGTAACGACATTGTTGAGTGTATAAATATCTTACGCATGATGTGTCTCATTTGTACATCAGGCTTTTGCTTAGGTTAAATAATATTTTATTCAATAAACTGAACTGGGTTGAAAACAGGCGCAAAGGCCCATATACGTTCTCTCCAAACATATAAAATTATTATATCTTATGTTTACAATGGACAATGGTGGGCAGTGAATTACAAACATATATACATTTCTTGGAGTCTAATCGTAGGGTATTACATTTTCATTTAAGATTATTAAATTTATAACAGATAAAACGTATCGCATATTATAAATAAAATATTTTAATTAAAGTGTTAAAAAATCTTGCTATCTTTTATGCATCTTTGCACTATGTTAAATGTGTTAAAATTGGTATCACCTGAAAGGGCGGTTTTGCCATATAAGATTAGGTTAATTGTAACATTTTGTTTGAGGTGTGTAAATTATTTTTGAGAATTGTTCTTTGGGCAGAGTAGACTTGACATATAAAAATTACTAGCTTTATTTTGTATTGGCATTGGATAATATTTTCTTTCCTATTTCGAGTATTATAATATAATGGTGGTCTAAGTAATGGGAATATACACGTGAAAGGCCCTATTTAAATATGCTTAACGTTTGTG